CTTTTCTCTCTAGCTCAAGCTGTTACCGTTGAGTCAGCTTTTTCATTTTTGTTCATGAGAGAAAATAGAACCGGTTAAGGGTGAGCCTGCTGTTAAAAAAAGAAAGTAGAACCAAGATTCCCATGTTAATCATAGTGATAGCAGCTAATACTTAGTGCACTGCAAAGTGTCAGCATTGCTAGGAAGTGTTCTCATGGATTACTGACCCATTTAATCCTATGGACAGATTGCTGTTTGCATTTTACAGAAGACGTAACTGAAGTGCAGTGTGCTGTTGGCAGGGTCTTATATTTAGTGAGTGGCAGTGCTAGGATATGAACTCAGGTAAGCCAGCTACAGAGTCTGCTCGTTCTCACGGCTCTTCAATAGTCTTTTTTTTTTAATTCATATTTCCTTGCCAGATGTTTTAGAGTTCTCTTTCCTGGGGAGAAAGTTTTTCTTAGTAGCTGTATGACCTTGAACAGCTTTCAGTTTCTTCATCATAAATTGGGATAATAATGGTACTTACGTCTTGGGTTTATTAAACAGTATCATTGAATGAGCCAGGGGTACAAAGCCCTCTCAGTGGGATTGGAAGAGAGGGGAGAGCTGAAGGCACAGAGAGACGGAAACAAAGATATTGTGTCTCATGATGGAGTTCTTCAGTGACTGCCTCAGGTTCTATCTTAAAGATTTCTTGAAAGATATGGGCGATTGGGATATGTCTTTCATTAGGTCATTTAGGGATTGTTTCAGGGATTCATAATAGGCGTTAATCTAGTTCGGGCTATTGATTTCCCCACACAATGTGATGAGATGATACATAAAAGAAGGCCGGGGCTGGGCACGGTGGCTCACACCTTTAATCCCAGCACTTTGAGAGGCCAAGGCAGGTGGATCACTTGAGGTCAGGAGTTCGAAACCAGCCTGGTCAACGTGGCAAAATCCCATCTCTACTAAAAATACAAAAAAATTAGATGGGCGTGGTGGCATGTGTCTGTAATCCCAGCTACTCAGGAGGCTGAGCCACAGGAGTTGCTTGAACCTGGGGAGCGGAGGTTTCACTGAGCCAAGATCACACCACTGCACTCTAGCCTGGGCAACAGGGTGAGACTCTGTCTCAAAAAAAAAAAAAAAAAAAAATTAGCCAGGCGTGATGGTGCCCACCTGCAGTCCCTGCTACTTGGGAGGCTAAGGTGGCAAAATTACTTGAGCCCAGGAGGCAGAGGTTGTAGTGAGCCATGAATGTGCCACTGAATTACAGCCTGGAGCCAGACCGTGTCTCGGGAAAAAAAAAAATAACATGGGGAGACGGTAGGGGGTGTTGTGTTCCTACGGCTCACAATCTTAGCTTCCTCTCTTGGTACCAAAAATACGGCCGGGTGCAGTGGCTCATGGCTGTAATCCCAGCACTTTGTGGGGCTGAGGCAGGTGGATCACAAGGTCAGGAGTTCTAGACACCCTGACCAACATGGTGAAACCCAGTCTCTACTAAAAATACAAAAATGAGCTGGGCATGGTGGTGCATGCCTATAAATCCCAGCTACTCGGGAGGCTGAAGCAGGAGAATCACTTGAACCCGAGAAGCAGAGAGGTTGCAGTGAGCCCAGATCACACGACTGCACTCCATCCTGGGCAACAGAGCAAGACTCCGTTTCAAAACAAAAAAAAACAAAAAATCTTGGCAGCTAATCAAGCCCAGATATCTTCTAGGAGACTGAGTGGCCAGATGGGGCTAAGGACTGTGCCTGCTCCTGCCATGAAGGAGGTCCAGATTCCAAGCTGAAGAAGAGCAAAAGGAGGAACTGTAGCCACTGTGGCAGCAAGGTGAGGAAAGTGTCAAGGGTGCTGGTCCCAGGGGTATCAGAGCTGCTCGGGGCTACCAAGAATTGTGCCTTATTGAATTCCTAAAAAGACACGTTTATAAATAGTATTCAGTACACACATACGTGTCCATATGCAAAATAATTGGAATCTGCTAGAAATATATGATAGATTTTCTTTTTTTAAAGAGAATCCTGTAAGTAAATCCAATTTTGGAATTGGAAAAACAAAATACCCGTTAAAATATTTCCCTCAGATTTTAGAAAACAAAATAAACCTCTGTCATGAAAATAGTCTCTTTAAGTAATCCTAGTTCTCTAGAGTAGAGTTGGTTGGCAGGAAGAGCACAGGTCTTGTAGAAGGGAGGCAGAGGTTGCAGTGACCCATGATCACACCACTGAACTCCAGCCTAGGTGACAGAGTGAGACCCTGTCTCAAAAAAAAAAAAAAAATCAAATCCTTGGAGGAGTAGCTGGGCGACAGGGCACTCAGGAAGGCTCAGATGAAAGGATCACTTGCGCCCAGGAGTGTGAGGCTATAGTGTAGCACCATAGTCATACCTGTTAAGTAGCCACTGCATTCCAGCCTGGACAGGATAATCTGTGTCATCTGTGAGACCCCATCTCTGTCTCTCTTTTCTTTTTGTTTTTCATTTGAGACAAGGTCTCACTATGTTGCCCAGCTGGTCTTGAACCACTGGGCTCAAGTGGTCCTCACACCTCAGCCTGCCAAGTAGCTGGGTTTACAGGCATGTACCACTACATCCAGTTTAAACCCTGTCATCCAAATTGTTGGAGCACACATGCATGTTGGTTGACTTGGTGAGCATCGGGCAGGGCTTCTTCCTTTGGTGGGCCCCAAAGACATGGGCGATCAGGACACCTTTGACCCCGAAGGCCATCCCTGCAGGTCTGTGACGGCAAATCCTACAAGAGTAAGGAGCTCCATGAGTTGGTGGGCAGCAGCCCCCACCGAGAGGCCAGTCCTATGCCTGGTGCTAAGGATGCAGGACAGAGCAAAGATGTGATGGAAGAAGAAGTCCCAGAGGAGCGGGAGAGCACTGAGGCCACCCAGAGCAGGACTGTCAGGACCACAAGAAAGGGAGAGATGCCTGTTTCAGGTGAGTGATCTGGCTGCCAACCCGGCCCTTCTGTTTCTCAGTCTCATTCTCCTGTACACCAGACAGCAACCTCCATGAGCCCAGATAAATAACAGCCTTTTCAGGGATGGATATACCACCTCTTTCACTGATGGACCCATAGGAAGCTCTTCTGTTCAGGCTTTTCCTATCCTGTGGCCTCACTCCTCCAGAATGAAGAGTGCTACAAATTTCACATGATTCAACATTGTCTTGTGTTTCCATTCCTAAAACTCTTCCCCCATCTCCAAATCTACATCCTAAAGACTCGGGACATTCTCAGCTTTGGCAGTAGGACTTTTTATCTTTGTGTAAGTGAGATGACGCTCCCCACCTCCACCCAACTCTTCTGTTCTTTATATTTTTTTGTAGAGATGGGGGGTCTCACCATATTGCTCAGGCTAGTCTCAAATTCCTGGCAACAAGCAAACCCACCACCTGGCTTCCCAATGTGCGGGCATTATAGGTGTGAGCCACCATGCCGAACCTCTTGTAGTAGAATTTTCGCACAGTACCTGGCCACAGTTACCCTATGGTAATTTCTTGTGCTTACGTGCATCTCGATCCTGACAGTACCCTGAGATCCTTATTTTCCTCCTAAGCAGGATTGGCAGTGGGGGGCACTTTGCCGTCCCCTCGAGAAGTGACTATTACAGAACGGCTCCTGGATGGCCCACCACCTCATTCACCAGAGACTCCTCAGTTTCCCCCCAAAACTGGAGCTGTACTATACACTGTTAAGAGAAACCAGGTTGGGCCTGAGGTTCTGCCATGCCCCAAGGCATCCCCCAGACTTCAGAGAGAGAGAGACGGCCAAAAGGCAGTGGGTGAGTCAGAGGCTTCGATGCTGGTCTGGGATGCATCCGAAACTGAGAAATTGCCTGGTACCGTGGAACCCCCCGCTTCCTTCCTGAGTCCCGTTTCCTCAAAGACCAGAGATGCAGGGAGAAGACATGTGTCCGGGAAACCAGACACTCAAGAGAGATGGCTGCCCTCAAGCAGAGCTAGGGTGAAGACAAGAGACAGGACGTCCCCTGTTCATGAATCTCCGTCAGGAACTGACACCTCAGAGACTTCTCCCAAAGCCCCTCAAGGGGGTTTGGCTAAAGACAGCGGAACACAGGGCAAGGGTCCAGAGGGGGAGCAGCAGCCAAAGGCCACAGAAGCTACAGTGTGTGCCAACAACAGCAAGGTCAGCTCCACTGGGGAAAAGGTTGTCCTGTGGACAAGGTAGGTACAGATGGATGACGTGTTTGGAAAAGAGCATAGACCACATCCATGTGGCTCCCTAGGGTTAACCATGATACCCGGGTTACAGGGAAGCCGACCGTGTGATCCTCACCATGTGCCAGGAGCAAGGGGCACAGCCACAGACCTTTGGCATCATCTCCCAGCAGCTGGGAAATAAGACCCCCACTGAGGTAAGTGGGCTGGGGAGGGAGAAGGCCCGGCAAAAAGAGGACAAGTTGGCCAACTAAGACAAAGACCAAGGGAGGCGTCTTCAGAGCCAGGACACTAAGTGGTTTTTGTAGGTCTGATCTAAGGAAAGGCTCGACTCGTCAGGCTGGTAGTGGTTCTAGAAGAGAGAGGACACTGGATTTTGAGGATTTGTTTTTTGAGACAGTTTCACTCTTGTTGCACAGGCAGGAGTGCAGTGCCGTGATCTCGGTTTACTGCAACCACTGCCTCCTGGATTCAAGTGATTCTCCTGCCTCAGCCTCCAAAGTAGCTGGGAATACAGGTGCCCACCTGCATGCCTGGCTAATTTATTTATTTTTAGTAGAGACAGGGTTTCACCATGTTGGCCAGGCTGGTCTTGAACTCCTGACCTCAGGTGCTGCACCCGCCTCAGCCTCCCAAAGTACTGGGATTACAGGCATGAGCTACTGTACTCAGCCAGGATTTTGAGGTAGAAGCCCTGAGTTTCCATTCTAGTTTTGTTTTCAGGAGACGTGTGACTTTGGGCAAAACATTAGGCCTCTTAGTGTCCTTATCTATAAAGACATAGCTCTCCCAACCTTGCCGTGTGGAATAAATAAAAGTTCCCAAATAAGATTGAAGTGCTTCATAGATGTTAACCTGTTTCTAAGGATCAGTGAATACAGCCCTCCTCCTTTCTCAGGTTTCCCACCGTTTTCGAGAACTCATGCAGCTCTTCCACACTGCCTGTGAGGCCAGCTCCGAGGATGAGGATGATGCGACCAGTACCAGCAATGCGGACCAGCTGTCTGACCATGGGGACCTTCTATCTGAAGAGGAGCTGGATGAGTGAGACTCTGGGAATGCCTGGGTATCATCCACACAGGACCAAACCCAACAGGTGCCCCGACACCGGGGAGCAGGGCAGTTGTACTCTCCTTGTACAACCCTTGCACCCAGTTTACAAAGCTGGAGACCAGGAGCCCAGGACGAGGACAAAGGCCGGAGGTTGGAGTCGGGCCCAGGGGCTGTGCCATCCTAGGCATCCTTCAAGGGCTTTTATGAAAACCTTATGATGTGCTCTGTAAACAGCATCGAGTGAGAGTGGGGCTCAGGTCCTTTCTCTACCTTTTTTTGGTCTGATGGCACATATTTATTGTTCTGTGGTCTAATCACAGGGTTTCTAAATGTAATAAGTGTGTGTGTTGGTGTAGCTAGTCTTGTGACACAGCTCTTCTGCATGAAGACACCTGCATCCAGCTGTTCTCATTGCAAGCTAGCACCTGCCCCACACTGGGAACTTGAGTCCACGAGGCTGTCAGTCACCGTCCTGGTAGCACTGGGCCAGGCTTCGCAGCTCCTGCAGCAGCTCTGCTACGTCATCGTGCTCCACTCCAGCATCCATGAAGCTGGCCCAGCACCACAAGTCAAGTTTGGTGAGGTCTCCGGCCAAGGCTTCCAGAGTCCGGTGCAGGGACGAAGAGGAACACAGTGCCCCAAACACTGGGATGCTCTCCACTGCTGTGGGGGGAGAGAAAAGCCAGAACGGTAGATGGATGATTATTCTACCCTAGGACTCTCAAACTGATAAGGAAGTCCACCCTTGGTAGTCTTGATTGTAAACTCAGCAAATTTTGTGTACTGCCCCCTCAGTACACCAGTACTCCAGAGGAACAACACTTCTTGGGAGCCATAGGGTGAATAAATGAATGGCTAACTGTGGACTTCTTAAGCACTTTAATTCCAGGGAAGGAGACAGTAAAACTCTACCATACTTGAAATCTGTTTTCTTCATCTCACACATACCCACTCCCTTCATGGAACCATCCGGAACCATACCCTGCGGACTGCAGCTTGAGAAGTGGTTGGGGTAAGGAGGAGCCGCCCTGCAGGGGGTCAGCAGCAGATGGGAAGAACTGTGGGGGCAGAGAACAGCCGTTCAGAGAAGTCAAGGCAGGGCTGAGGTTGGCAAACAGGGCAGGAGCGAACTGTTACACTGACCTCATGACTCTAGGCTGCTGCTGTAAATACTGGGCCAAGACTTCTTCCCCAGTGTACATGTGTGCAGCAGGGAGGGTGGAGGAGTCCCTGGGGTGAGCTGACTGCCAGAACAAAGCCAAAACCACCGTTAGACTATAGCAGCATGAATAAGAAGCGAAGAATTCTTACGTTCTCAGGCCATCAGCTGGATCAAGATGTTCAGAGACTTTTTTTTCCTTTTGTAAGGGATGGGGAGGGAACACTATTATTGGAATGGCCCAGAGAAACCACGGAGAAAAGGGCACGAAACAAAAATCTGACAAGGGGTCCTAAGGACCAACAGTTCTCACCTTGTGTGGCAGGCTCTGTCTATACCCCTCAGCACCACTGACTGGGCAAAGCAACGTGTTCCAGAAGGGTCACCACATGCAGACAGCGGGGTCCACGGGGTGGCTCCTCCAAGCTGCATCAGGGAATCAGGAAGGGACTGGCCTGGAGCCAAGGAGAAAGGGATGGTTGCTCCTGCTGTCACCACCTAAAGATAAGGAAGAGAACAGGTTATAGGACTTCCTCAGCACTGACCCAACCCCTCACAAAGCTTTGTACCTTTTTCCCACAGAAGCTCAGCATATCAGCCAGCTGAACCATGGAAACTGGGGAGGAACACAGGCGATAAGGAGCAGTGAATTTGTCCAGGGCTGTAGCCAGGATGGCACTGCAGTGGAAGGGCAGAGTGGCCTGTAAGAAGACACCAAGAGGGGCACTTGGTCTCGGGCCTGGAAAGGAGTGTGGAGGCAGAATATTAACGGCAGAGAGATCCAGGGGATGAAGCAGGGGTACGTTTAGCCCAGGCTGGACAAGCATAGGACAGTGTGACCTGAGTGGCCACATCACAGCTGAGTTCAAGGTCAGGCCTCAGGAACAGAGCCAGTTACAGACAGCAGCTGACTTGGGAATATGAGGAGGCCCCATAGCCAGCTGCAGTCAGAACAAGAGCACCGAGCCTTACATCATAATGCAGGTAAGGGAAGTTGACAGGTGGCTCTGTCGCAGGCCCAGGCTCCCATCCAGGGACAAGGGGCAGACGAGGGAGCTGTGAGCAGTCAGGTGCATGAGACCAAAAGCTGTGTTTAATAGACGATAGATGTTTCTCTGGGCCTCCTGGGGAAGTAAAGAGCAGTCTGGGCCAGGTGCGGTGGCTCACGCCTGTAATCCCAACACTTTGGGAGGCCGAGGCAGGTGGATCACGAGGTCAAGAGATCGAGACCATCCTGGTCAACATGGTCAAACCCTGTCTCTTTTAAAAATACAAAAAATTGGCTGGGCATGGTGGTGTGTGCCTGTAATCCCAGCTACTCAGGAGGCTGAGGCAGGAGAATTGCCTGAATCCAGGAGGCAGAGGTTGCGCTGAACCAAGATTGCGCCACTGCACTCCAGCCTAGGTAACAAGAGTGAAACTCCGTCAAAAAAAAAAAAAAAAAAAAAAAAAGCAGTCTGCATTAAGTAACTTTCCCACTGGGATTCTCGTTCCTCCCCACCGTGTGACTGCTTACGCCTCCAAGTTCCACTCACCACATGATGGTAGGGACCAGATAGCAGGCCCCACGTTATTATTCCCCGCCCTGAATATTCATCTTGTAGCATCTCTGTGGCCTTAGTGCCCACCCCAGAGAAGCCATCATACAGGTCACACAGGATTTGGAAGCCCTGGGCAGAGGTGAGTGACAAAAGATAGGGGGATGAGAAGAGCTTCCACCCTGGGGTACACACAGCCACGCCACTACCTGCAGTAGTCACATTCCTCCACGTAGAAATGCAGCCTGTCCTCCAGTTCTTCCTGGTACTTGGGTTCCTTTAGGACACTTTCCCCTTGGCCAAAAGCCTCCAGCCGACCTGCTTCCCTGCCACAAATAAACACCACCCAAGACTTGCATCTCTTCCTCTCAACTTCTCAACCTCTTGTCCTGGGGGAGGGCAGGGGAGATGGCCTCAAGAGCCTCATCCAGCATTGGTGGGGACCCAAGTTTCTTGCCTCACAGCCTCTGGGGCTTTCGTACCCATCATTGTACTTCTGAATCATACAGATGCTCCGGAGATGGAGATGGACTCTGAGGAAGTCTGACCAGACCCTTATGCTGTCCTCTGTAGGGATAAGTGGTTTTGGGTTTGTAGACGTGGTGAGTAGTGGGGGACCTGAAGACAAGTAGAGGAAATGTACCTTTCTCCACATTTCTGCTGTACCCAGACCCCCATCCTACCAGTATCTGGGGCAGTCTCACCTTTGTCATTGGGAATGGATTTGACCCTCCAAACACCATCACTACTCAGCACTCCCTGGGAGGGGTGAGAACAACCCTCATTTAGTTCCAGGCAGTTTAGAGGCAAAGGTTGATTTATCCTCCAGTTGGCTGACCACACCACACAGCCTCCTTTCTGTTCACGGAGTTGCGGTCCTTAGGAAAAGATGTGCTTTTCCCCAAAATATCCTTCTAAGGCATTTAAGGTGATTGAAATCCTCTTTTACCTGCCCCTATGGAGGCCCTCGGGTTGTAGCACTGGGCTAAAAAGTTCAGGGCAGAGGCCCTCACCTCTGCACTCAGAAAGTCCTGGAGATAAGGGTTCTTGGGGTAGAGTTCCTCTTTGTGTGTGGTGAGCTTCCCCTGCCTGAAAGAGATTGGAGATTGATGAAAGAATCCACTCTGATGAGTTCTCCAGCGTTCTATGTACTTACATTTTCCCCTCCCCTCTCCATACATCAGTTACACACCATGCTATTGCGGCATCCAGCTGTTTGTCCCTGTAGAGTCCACCTTCCTCTTTTAGGGAGCTCAAACTACCTGTACAGAAACGACAGTCAATGTTAGGTCAGAGCCTGGGGCACCCTACCCCTCTAGCTAAACTTCCTGATCACCTGACAGCCTGCTGTCACCATCTCTTCAGCACTTGGCTCTTCCAAGCTTTCTGGGATATATACCAGTTGGGGAAAAACCTTGGCTAGGATAATCTAGATTCTCTTTCCGTTCCCAGCTTAGTCATTAGCTGTGGGACTGGGGTCAAAAACTACATCCAGCTGTCCGATAGGAGTGCTGCTGTTCAAGTCCTCACTGTCTCCAGGGCCTAGCAGCCTGTTCCCGAGATTTCTCTGGAGCAGAATAAGTTTTGCCGTTCTGCGCCCCTGGGGTGCTGGCATATTGTGCTCAGCTCCTCATCTCTGGTCCCTGAGCTCAGGAAGGTGGGAGGGTCTTGAAGCGAACGGCAGGGCAGGGACTCGGCACACTGAAGGGAAACACGGGGCATCGGCTGACCCTGCCACCACCTCACCCTTCAGATCCATGAGGATGAGTCGCGGCGTGTAGGTCTCCTGGCCGTGCAGCGTCCGGCCCGTACGATACAGGACGTCGGGGCACAGCTCTCCCGGCGGTTCCTTAGCATCGGTCGCTCGGCCCAGCGTAGCATCTTGGGGAGGCAGAGAGGACGAGGAAGGCCGGCTGAACGTCGGGACTGTAGATCCCGAAGGGCTCCGCGGGGGCAGATGGCCGCAGACCTCACCTGCTGGTTCCACCAGTGCGCGCCCACGAAACCAGCACAATGTCCCAACTGCAGTGTGAGAACCTCCCGGGCCCCGCCCGCCATACCGCGCGGCTCCAACGGGCTGCGGCTCTCAGCCCCGCCCGCCGCTCGCTGCTTTTAGCCGATTGGGTGGGCAGGCGCGCGAACGAGTGTCCATCTCGGCGCCCTATTGGTCCGCAAACACAGCCTTTTCCATTGGAGAAGCGGTTCGCCGATCCTTTCCTCCGTCTTCCTAGATGTGGCTCAGTCTGGCTTCTCCGTGGTTGGCTGTGAGGGCCTGGGCTCCACGGGCCACGCTAGTGCTCCTGCTCCAGGCTGGAGTGGGCTGGACGCTGTCTCCGCCGCTCACGTGGGTGTACCCGGGCGCGGGCCGCGGACGGCCCTGCCCCCTGCTTCTCCTGCGTCTTATCCCTTCTCTTTTTTTATTTTTTAACTTTTTTTTAAAGATGGGGTTTCACCATGATGGCCAGGCTGGTCTTGAAGTCCTGACCTCAGGTGATCCACCCACCTCAACCTCCCAAAGTGCTAGGATTACAGGCGTGAGCCACCGCGCCCGGCGTCTTATCCCTTCTCACAGATCTCTGCGCTGGCTGATAGCTCCCTGAACAAAAATAAAACCTTGCCAGGAAAGCGCAAGCTCCCCTAAAGCTTCCCATGCCCCCTCATCCCTTCAGAAGTCGGATTAGGACTAACACCCTGTGGACTGGCCTAGTTATCATCTCTGTATTATTTAATGTACTTATCTCTGTGTATCAAACCCCTTGTGTAAATAGAGTATGTATCCGTTCTTTTTTTTTTACTTCAACTCCTGCACTTAAATGTCTTTTGCTCAATATGGTTTATAGAATTCTTCTGCATTTTTGTATATATCTAGAATTTATTTTCATCGCTCCAGAATAGTCCATTTTATGAATACACCACCACCGATCTATTCTAAACAAAGACTATTTTGCTGACAATCACTTTTGGGATTGTTTCCAATTTTTGGCGATTAGGTGCTGTGATTGTTTCCAATTTGGGGCTATTAGGTGCTGTGATTAACATTCTCGTGTATGTTTAGAAACATAAAGCAATATTGGGGCTCACACCTTCATTCACACGTTTTGAGAGGCTGAGGCAGGAGGATCGCTTGAGTCCAGAAATTCAAGGCCAAACTGTACAAGCTATTGAGACACCTGCCCCCCACCTTCTGTAACATAATTACTCAAAAGTTAGCCAGGCAGCCTGCATCTGTAGTCCCAACTGGAGGCTGATGTGGGAAGATCGCTTGGGCCGAAGAATTTGAGGATATATCGTGAGCTATGAATGCACCACAGCACTCCTGTCCCAGTGACAGAGCGAGGCCCTGTCTCAAAAAAAAAAAAAAAAAAAAAAAATTGGCCAGGCTCCATACCTCAAGCCTGTAATGGGAAGCTGAGGTGGGCTGACCACCTGAGGTCAAGAATTCTAGACCAACCTGGTCAACATAATGAAACCCTGTCTCTACTAAAAATAAAAAAAGTTAGCTGGGCATGATGGTGGGTGCCTGTAATCCCAGCTACTCCAGAGGCTGAAGTAGTAGAATCGCTTGAACCCGGGAGGCAGAGGTTGCATTGAGCTGAGGTAGCACCACTGCACTCCAGCCTGGTGACAAAGCAAGACTCCATTTGGGGGAAGGAAAAAAAAAAAAAAAAAAAGGTTAGCTTCTTTTGTCTATTCTGAGCTCTTTGTAAGTCCACATTTATTTTATTTAGTCTTATTTATTTTGAAACAGGGTCTCACTCTCTTGCCCAGGCTGGAGTGTAGTGGTACAATCTAGGCTCACTGCAGCCTCAACCTCTTGGGCTGAAGCGATTCTCCCACCTGAGCCTTCCAAGTAGCTGCAATTACAGGCATGGACCATCACACCCAGCTAATATGTGTATTTTTTATACCTTTGTGGTTTCACCTTCTTGCCCAGGCTGGTCTCAAACTTCTGAGCTCAAGTGATATGCCTTGGCCTCTGAAAGTGCTGGGATTACAGGTGTAAGCTACTGTGCCCGGCTACCGTTTCACTTCTAAGTAGGATATGGGCTGAAAAGTTTCTGTAGATACTCTGTAGTATCTCTGTAGATACTCTGTAGACAGGTTAAGGAAGTACTTTATTCCTGGTTTGCTAAGAATTTTGGTCATGAATAGATCTGAATATTTTACAGTTTTCTCTGAACTAAGATAATTACATTATTTTATCCTTCCTTTGTTGCACTAATGAATAAATTACATATTTTGATTTTCATGTAATACTATCTTGCATTCCTAAAATAAACCCAAACTCATGTATGTAGATTATCCTTTTAAAATACTAGATCTTGGCTTGGCGCAGTGGCTCACCCCTGTAATCTCAGCACTTTTGGAGGCCGAGGTGGGTGGATCACCTGAGGTCAGGAGTTCAAGACCAGCCTTGCCAACATATCGAAACCCCATCTCTACTAAAAATACAAAAAATAGCTGGGTGTGGTGGTGCACTTATGTAGTCCCAGCTGGGAGGCTGAGGCAGGAGACTCACTTGAACACAGGAGGCAGAGGTTGCAATGAGCCGAGATCGGGCTATTGCACTCCAGCCTGGGCAACAAGAGCGAAACTCCATCTCAGGAAAACATAAAATAAATAAAATAAAATGCTGGCTTAGTGCAGTAGCTCACGCCTGTAATCCCAGAACTCTGGGAAGCGAAGGCAGGCAGATCACTTGAGCCCAGGAGGTCAAGACAAGCCTGGGTGACATAGTGAGATCTTATCCCTACAAAAAAAAATAAAGTCAGGTGTGATGGTGCAGGCCTGTAGTCCCAACTACTTGGGAGGCTGAGTCTGAAGAATGGCTTGAGCCCAGGAGCTGGAGGCTACTGCAAGCTATGATCAAGTCAACGCACTCTACTCTAGGCGGCACAGCGAGAGCTCACCCCTATAATCCCAAATCTTTGGGAGGCTGAGGCAGGCGGATCACTTAAGATCAGGAGCTTAAGACCAGCCTGGCCAACACAGTGAAATCCTGTCTCTACTAAAAATAAAAAATAGCTGGATGTGGGGGCGAGCACCTGTAATCCCAGCTACTTGGGAGGCTGAGGCAGGAGAATCACTTGAACCCGGGAGGTGGAGGTTGCACTGAGCTGAGATCACGCCACTGCAGTGCAGGCTGGTCGACAGAGCAAGACCTGTCTCAAAAAAAGAAACAAATAAAAAAAGTTTGATCTCTTTATATTTTGTTTGGGATTTCTGCATCCATATGCACAAATGACATTGGCTAGTTTTTCTTTTAATGTTCTTGTCAGCATTTGATATTAAAAGTAACAGTGCCTCAAAAACAACTTGGGAAGTATTTTCCCTTTTCTATTTTGCACAAGAATTTGCATGAAAGTGGCATCATTTCCTTAAATGTTTGCTAGAATTTGCTGGGGAAGTTACATAGACTCAGAATGGAGTTTTTGTTGCTGTTTTCTGATATAATCTAATTGTCAGCCAGGCTGGAGGGAGTGCAGAGCTCACTGCAACTTGAACCCCTGAACTCAAGTGATCCTCCCACTCAGCCTACAGAGTAGCTGTGACTACAAGATTTTAAAACTTTTCTGTAGAGAGGAGGTCTCTCGATGTTACTCAAGCTGGTTGCAAACTCCAGGGCTCAAACAATCCTCCCTTATTGACCTATGAAAGCGCTGAGATGACAAGAGTGAACTGTGCCCTGCCTGAAACGTTCGTAGAAAAGTTTTCACCTATGAATTCAAGTTCTGAAATGATATGGGACTATTTAAATTTTATATATTTTTTTGTGTCAATTTTGGTAAACCATATTTTTCTGGAAATTTGCCCATTTCATCTACAAATTCAGAGCTATTACCATCAAGTTATTATGAACTCATTTAAGCTTTTTCATGTCTGCAGGATCTGTGGTGATGTGCTTTTTCACTTTCCATATTGTTTTAAAGGCAAAAAGTCACCTGTTTTGTGTCAAGAGTAACTTGGTTTTTTTGAGACGGAGTCTTGCTCCGTCACCAGGCTGGAATGCAGTGATGCGATCTCAGTTCACTGCACCCTCTGCCTCCTGGGTTCAAGCAATTCTCCTGCCTCAGCCTCCTGAGTAGCTGAGACTACAAGCGTGTGCCACCACGCCCAACTAATTTTTGTATTTTTAGTAGAGATGGGGTTTCACGATGTTGGACAAGATAATCTCGATCTCGATCTCTTGACCTCATGATCCACCTGCCTTGTTTTCCCAAAGTACTGAAATTACAGGCGTGACTCACCACGCCTGGTCAGTAAATCAGTTTTTATCAATTTCAATTTTTTTTTTTTTTTTTTTTTTTTGAGACGGAGTTTCGCTCTTGTTACTCAGACTGGAGTGCAATGGCACCATCTCGGCTCACCGCAACCTCCACCTTCTGGGTTCAGGCAATTCTCCTGCCTCAGCCTCCGGAGTAGCTGGGATTACAGGCACGCGCCACCATGCCCAGCCAATTTTTTGTATTTTTAGTAGAGACGGGGTTTCACCATGTTGACCAGGATGGTCTCAATCTCTCGACCTCGTGATCCACCCGCCTCGGCCTCCCAAAGTGCTGGGATTATAGGCGTGAGCCACTGCACCCGGCCCTTGATTTTTGTATTTTTAGTAGAGACGGGGATTCACCATGTTGGCCAGGCTGGTTTCAAACTCCTGACCCATGATCTGCCCACCTAAGCCTCCCCAAGTGCTTTACAGGCGTGAACGAAAGAGCCCAGCCAGTCTTTGCTTTTTTTTTTTTTGAGACGGAGTTTCGCTCTTGTTACCCAGGCTGGAATGCAATGGCGTGATCTCGGCTCACCACGCCCAGCCAATTTTTGCATTTTTTTTTATAGAGACGAAGTTTCACTGTGTTCCCCAGGCTAGTCTTGAACTCCTCGGCTCAAGCAATCTTCCTGCTTCAGCCTCCCAAAGTGCTGGGATTACAGGCCTGAGCCACTGTGCCCAGCTAGCCAGTATTTTCAGCTTATAAAATTTTTGTTTAAGTTTTGTGTTTAGTAATTTCACAATCACTTCATTTGAATTACTTTCTCATTTCCATTATAATTCTTTTTCCCTGACCAATGGGCACATCAGAAAAGGATGTTTTAATTTCCAGACATGTGAGGAGTTTCTACTTCTCTTTTCGTTACTGGTTTCCAGTTTAAATTGCATTAGAATCAGAGTACATAGCTATCTGATTTAAATTCTTTTTTTTTTTAGGGGGAGTCTCACTCTTGTCACTCACGCTGGAGTTCAATGGCGAGATCTTGGCTCATGGGAACCTCCCCCTCCCGGGTAAAGTGATTCTCCTGTCTCAGCCTCTTGAGTACCTGGTATTACAGGCACGTGCCGCCACCACTCGACTAATTTTGTATTTTTAGTAGAGACGGGGTTTCTCCATGTTGGTCAGGCTGGTCTCGAACTCCCGACCTCAGGTGATCTGCCCACCTGGGCCTCCCAAAGTGCTGGGATTACAGGTGTGAGGCACTGCGCGCCTGGCCTAAATTCTTTGAAATGTATTGAGTGGCTTTATGGTCCACTGACAGTCAATTGGCTCTTTATGTCCTTCAAAATAAAGTACATTCAGAAGTTTTCCGATTTGATAGGTGGAAGATGAGGTTGGAAAAGCAGATCCATTCCGCATAACGTCTATTGAAAAAGATCTGTGACCTGGTGCAGTGGCTCATGCCTGTAATCCAGCACTTTGGGAGGCCCAGGTGGGTGGATCACCTGAGGTCAGAAGTTCAAGACTAGCCTGACCAATATTGTGAAACCCAGTCTGTACTAAAAAAAAAAAAAATACAAAAATTACCTGGGTGACATGGTGGGTGCCTGTAGTCCCAGCTATTCAGGAGGCTGAGACAGGAGAATTACTTGAACACAGGAGGCGGAGGTTGCAGTGAGCCAAGATCACACCATTGCACTCCAGCTGGGGCAACAGAGCAGGACTCCATCTCAGAAAGAAAGAAAGAAGAAAAAGATCTGTGAGGCTGGATGCAGTGGCTCACACCTGTAATCTCAGCACTTTGGGAGGCCAAGGTGAGTAAATCATCTGAGGTTAAAAGTTCCAGACCAGCCTGGCCAATATGGTGAAACCCCATCTCTACTAGAAATACAAAAATTAGCCAGGCATGGTGGTGCTCACCTATAGTACTAGCTACTAGAAAGGCTGAGGCAGGAGGACAGCTTGAACCTGAGAGGCGGAGGTTGCAGTGAACCAAGATTGCACACCAGCATGGACAGCAGAGCAAGATTCTTTCTGGGAAAAAAAAGAAATCTGCAAATAAGTGGACCCATGCAGTCCAAAAACACTGATAAAGAGTCAACTCTAATGACCTGATATATTTTCTACCTTATAGAACAACACTTGCTTATTAAATTAAAAATGTTTATTAAACCATTATTTCGTAATCTTCTGCCTTTCTAGAGGCTTGGTGATGCCCAAGTTCAGCTTTAGGAAACTTATGTTGCTCTCTTTTGTCTGTCTTCCTGGCTTAAAGAAAAGGATGAGTGTAATTAGGCTGTGAAAAATAAAGTATATTATGTGAATGTAAAATAACTTCTACCAAAAAAAATAAGTTTGGGGATTTAATTTTTAAAAATACTTCCATTAGGACAAGTGTGTTAATCGTGCTATTCAATCTTTTATGTTCTTACCGATTCTTTTGTCTCTTCCTACCAAGGAGTATATTAATTCTGTAACCATGATTTTCTATTTCTTTTTGTAATTTTGTGTTTTTTTTTGAGACGGAGTTTCGCTCTTGTTACTCAGGCTGGAGTGCAATGGCGCAATCTCGGCTCACCGCAACCTCTGCCTCCTGGGTTCAGGCAATTCTCCTGCCTCAGCCTCCCGAGTAGCTGGGATTACAGGTACATGCCATCATGCCCAGCTAATTTTTTGTATTTTTAATAGAGACGGGGGTTTCACCATGTTGGTCAGGATGGTCTCGATCTCTTGACCTCATGATCCACCCGCCTCGGCCTCCCAAAGTGCTGGGATTACAGGCTTGAGCCACCGCACCTGGCCCTTCTTTTTGTAATTTTGTATTTCTTTTTGAGACAGAGTCTTGTTGTTGTCCAGGCTGGAGTGCAGTGGTGTGATCTCAGCCTACTGCAGCCGCCCCCTTGTGTGTTCAAGCCATTCTCCTGCCTCAGCCTCCCATGTAGCCGAGAGGCATAGGCCATCACGCCCAGCTTATTTTTGTATTTTTACTAGAGACAGGGTATCACCATGCTTGCCAGGCTGGTCTCGAACTCCTGAGCTCAAGTGTTCCGTCTGCCATAGCCTCCCAAAGTACTGAGATTACAGGTGTGAGCCACAATGTCTGGCTTGGTTTTTTTGGTTTTTAAAAAGACTATGTTTTTAGGGCATATTATATTTATTTATCTGACGAAGTCTCACTCTGTCACCCTGGCTGGGGTGCAATATCGTATTCTCAGCTCACTGCAACATCTATCTCCTGGGTTCAAGTGATTCTCCCGCCTCAGCCTCCCAGTTAGCTGGGATTACAGGCACCTGACATCTTGCCTAAATAATTTTTTTTTTTTTTTTGAGACAAGAATCACACTCTTGTCACCAGGCTGTGCACGATCTTGGCTCACTGCAACCTCTGCCTCTGGGATTCCAGTGATTTTCCTGCCTCAGCCTCCTGAGTAGCTGGGACTACAGGTGCCCGCCACTGTGCCCAGATAATTTTTTGTATTTAGTAGAGATGGGGTTTCACCATGTTAGTCAGGCTGGTCTCAAACTCCTGACCTAAAGTGATCCACCCGCCTCAGCCTCCCAAAATGCTGGGATTACAGGCATGTGCCACCTCGCCCAGTCCTCTTTTGAATCTTTACTTGCAACTTTAGACTTCTGTCTTGAAGGAAGCATTGTGTTTGGGTGTGTTAGGTCTTCCCAGATATGGACACCAAGATGGGGTTATAGGCTGGCCAAAGTCATTCATGCCTATACTCCCAGCAATTTCGGAGGCTGAAACAGGTGGATCACTTGAGCCCAGGAGTTTGAGACCAGCCTGGGAAACACAGTAAGAACTCCTCTTTTTATAGCTGGAATTAGAGGTACATGCCACCATCCCCGGCTAATTTTGTATTTTTAGTAGAGACTGGGTTTCACCATGTTAGCCAGGCTGGTCTTGAACTGCTGACATCAAGTGATCTGCCTGCCTCAGCCTGAGCCACCATGCCTGGCTATATATATTTGGGTAGAAATTTATCTCTAGGATTTGGTAACAGAGGTTCCTTTTAGAAGAGCACTGTGAGAAAGGGAAGATACCTGACTTTCCATTACAGTCATTCCTCGTACCTATGGGAGATTTGTCCAGGACCCCACCTCCCCCAGGTAACAACATCCTCAGATGTTGAGGTCCCTTATATAGCACAGTACACTTTATTTTTTTGAGATAGAGTCTTGCTCTGTCACCCAGGCTGGAGTGCAGTGGTGTGACCTTGGCTCACTGCAACCTCCACCTCCCAAGTTAAGGCAATTCTCCTGCCTCAGCCTCCTGAGTAGCTGGGATTACAGGTGTGTGCCACCATGCCAAGCTAATTTTTTTACTGTTAGTAGACATGGGGTTTTGCCATGTTGCCAAGGCTGATTGCAAACTCCTGAGCTCAAGCAATCTGCCCATCTTGGGCTTCCAAAGTGCTGAGATTATAGGTGTGAACCACTGTGCCCAGCCAGCTGTGAATCTTGACATACTGAATTGCATAAAGTCTAAACAGAACCACTGGAAATTTCTGTAGAATTGATCTCTTCTGACCTGCAACAAGTGGAATATCAGGGAAATGCAATTTGAACAATCTAAAGGGTCCTTCTGTATTATTAATCTAATACAACACTTTAGAAACATACTTAAGTGTGGAGGTCGCCCCTGTGAGAGGCTAACAACTTGTCCTCCGCCATTAGGTGAGCTTGACTCCTTACACATTTTCCCTGGCTGGAGGCTGTCGAGCTATGAGTGAGAGGAAATTAAGAAGAGAATGAAAGAGGAAATTGAGAATGATTAAGCAGGACACTATTTTCAGCTTTCTTGGCCGATGAGATAACAGCCAGGCGAATGCCAAGTGGTCTCACAAGGCACTGTGTCCCCCTTTCTGCCTCCTGATGTAAATCTGTTTTATGACTTTGTTTACCAGGCATTGTTTCGGCCTAGCGACCTCCCCTGCGGTCCTTGTCTCTCTCAGACACATGGTTTACTGCTGAGCTTGTGACTTCTAGTTAATTAAAGATTGTTATCCAAGTTACTGATTGTTCTGACAATATTGATAATCAGCGTCATCTATTTCCCTCTTGATCTTTTAAATTAGTATTTGTTCCTTTTGACAGTTCCTCAGAATCATCCCCCAAGGAATTTTCTGTTCCTTTTATTGTTTTAGTAATGATCTGCATTGAGGTAATGATGTTAAAGAAAAAAGTATATGAGGAAACCGACTGCACAAATAAAACTGCTGTTTTGGGCACTGCTGCTCGGGCACTGCCTAATCAGTCCTCCAGACCCCATCTCTCTCTGTCTCCTTTTTTTCCCGCATGCTCTCTTCCAGGTTTGGGACCCTCTCGCTGGATAAGATTCCTGGGCTCGAGTTCAGTTCACAACACTTAAGGCCAGGTAAGGTGGCTCACACCTGTAATCCTAGCACTTTGGGAGGCTGAGGTGGGTGGATCACGAGGTCAAGAGATCCAGACCATCCTGACCAACATGGTGAAACCCTGTCTCTACTAAAAATAAAAAATTAGCTGGGTGTGATGGCATGTGCCTGTGGTCCCAGCTGCTCGGGAGGCTGAGGCGGAAGAATCGCTTGAACCCAGGAGGCGGAGGTTGCAGTGAGCTGAGATTGCACCACTGCACTCCAGCCTGGTGACAGAGCAAGACTCCATCTCAAAAAAAAAAAAAGAAAGATACTTTATTTAGAAAAAGAGCCATCATTATCTTAAATGTTTCACATCCAATACACTGATACAAATTTCAGGAACAAGGCAGTACCATTTTTTTAATGCAGGTCCAGAGCCAACTGCAGTCCCGTCCAATCCCCCATAGGTCAAAGGGCTTGGCTCCTCTTCCTGTGTACTGCTGGCCTTCCTCATCTCATTGCGTCTAGCCTAAAGCAGATGTCCATTGTCTTCCTCACATGTGATGGTGGCTTAGAGATAGGCACAGTGCCGCTCCAGCAGCGAGGGGTTTGCGTTACTTAGGAACAGCAGCTGTTTTTTCCCTTCTTCTGTATGAGCTAAAATAGAGACAAACACAGGTAAGTGGTAGTTTCCTCCTACTGCACTGGGTTCCCCAGAAATTCGTGTGCTCAGAGGCTACCATATCCAAATTGCATTCTGAGGTAATTAGCATCTCCCAAGAGATCTTACTTCTAGACCCTTACCCTAATCAACTACTCTTTTTTTGTATGCATTATTTCCTTCTTTGTGTCTACTCCTCAATCCAGCATGGAGCTCTCCCTCCACTCCCAGAGCACCTTCTGGACTTCAGGACTTTGTCAAACCTCCCAACTCTCTTTAGAAATCTGTCCATTGGGCTGGGCGTGGTGGCTCACCCCTATAATCCCAGCACTTTGGGAGGCTGAGGCAGACAGATCATGAGGTCAGAAGATTAAGACAATACTGGCCAACATCGTATTGTCTTAATCTTCTGTATTAAGGTATTCCATTTTTTTTTTGGTTTTTGGAAGAAACTCAATTTCTACTAAAAAGACAATTAGCCAGTCATGGTGGCACGCACCTATAGTCCCAGCTACTCGGGAGGCTGAGGCAGGAGAACTGCTTGAGCCCGGGAGGCGGAGGTTGCTGTGAGCCAAGATCATGCCACTGCCCTCCAGCCTGGGAGACAGAGTGAGACTCCATCTCAAAAAAAACAAAAAAAAACCCTGTTTATTGTGCCTCCCAACTTAACATGCTGCAGTTATTCTTATACTCTTTACTCTACTTCTTTAATAAGCTATTCCATTTACTATTTTTTTCTTCTTTTTTTTAATAGAGACAGGGTCTCACTGTACTGGCCCAGGCTGGTCTCAAACTCCCAACTACAAGTGATCCTTCCACCTCTGCCTCCCAAAGTGCTGGGATTACAGGCGTGAGCCCACTGCACCAGCCTCCAGTTACTATTAACTCTCTATTATCAGTAATAGAAGTAACAGATCAGCCTGAGCTTTTCCCCTCTCATATTTCAAGGTCAAGTTAAGGTAAAGAAATAGACAGTTGGAATGCTTTCAGTCAGATAGATGAAATATGGTGCAAAAAGTTAATTTTTGTATATATACTAAGACAGGTGTGGCAAAGAATTCCTTAGGTGCTAGGATAGCCTCTTGTACAGCATGAATTATTCTGTGAGTGTCCCAGCATGAGTCTCTCAAGTGTAGTCTGTTGAATGAAACAATGCAATAAAGAAAATGTGGCAGGAACCCAATCACCTGGAAACTGTCCAGTGGATGGAATGGGTTTTGCTGCCTTCTTTATCATGGAGAATTTAGGGATAAAATCTTTTTTGTAAATTAAACCTTAACCACCTCCCACCCACCTTTCTGTAGCATCTTAGCCAGAAAGAAGTTAAGATAAAGGATAAAGCATAAATTAGAGGCTGTTGCTGAGGGAAGAAGACATCAAGGTTCCAATTCAGTGGGATTCTACTAGGATCACAAAGCCCTGATAGAAAAAGCCTGAACAATGGACCTTTCTCATGTTGAAGCCAATTGTTTTCCAGATAATACTGAATACAACTTTCAAATTCCTTTGGGTTATAGTTGGAAACCAGGATGGGAATAAAGGGATCCAGGGCATCAAATCCTTCCTAGGGAAGAAAAAGGATAAAGAAACATATTAGTTAAGAGACAAAGCACCAAACAGACAAACACTACTTAAGCATTTTGAAGACAAGGTCTTTTTCTTCTACTTAACTCTACTTCTCATCCTCTGGCAACACTGCTTGATACAGGACTCCACATATGGCTACATTAAAAAAACTGAGACTGTCTCAAATAAAAGGTAATAAAAAACAATGGGAAAAAATACTCTTGATGAAAAATAAATGGAAACAAATAAAGCAATCAAAACCAAACTGTATTTCAAATTAATTCCTTCCTTCCTTCTTTCTTTCCTTCCTTTCTTCCTCCCTTCCTCCCTCTCCCCACCCTGCCCCACCCCACAGTTTTGCTCTTCTTGCCCAGGCTGGAGTCAGTGGCATGATCTCGGCTCACTGCAACCTCCACCTCCTGGGTTCAAGCGATTCTCCTGCCTCACCACACACCCAGCTAATTTTTTGTATTTTTAGTATGGACAAGGTTTCATCATGTTGGCCAGGCTGGTCTTGAACTCCAGACCTCAGGTGATCTACCCACTTCTGCCTCCCAAAGTGCTGTAATTACAGCTGTGAGGCACAACGCTTGGGTGAAAAGGAATTTTTGAAGAGAATATTTGGCTGGGTGCGGTAGCTCACGCCTATAATCCCAGCCCTTTGGGAGGCCGAGGTGGGCGGATCACGAGGTCAAGAGATGGAGACCATCCTGGCCAACATGGTGAAACCCCGCCTTTACTAAAAATTTTAAAAATAGCTGGGCACGGTGGCACATGCCTGTGGTCCCAGCTACTTGGGAGGCTGAGGCAGAAGAATCGCTTGAACCCAGGAGGCGGAGGTTGCAGTGAGCCAAGATTGTGCCACTGCACTCCAGCCTGGCGACAGAGCAAGACTCCGTCTCAGATAAAAAAAAAAGAAGAGAATATTTGGAGTATAGATCCTTAGGATAAAGACAAAAATTAAGTGAACACCAAACTCTAGTTAGCAGTTCCTTTTTCATAGGATTAAGAGCCAGCAAACCTGAAACTACTTTTAAATATGTTCTAGTATTGGCCGGGCGCGGTGGCTCAAGCCTGTAATCCCAGCACTTTGGGAGGCCGAGGCGGGTGGATCATGAGGTCAACAGATCGAGACCATCCTGGTCAACAGGATGAAACCCTGTCTCTACTAAAAATACAAAAAATTAGCCGGGCATGGTGGCACATGCCTGTAATCCCAGCTACTCAGGAGGCTGAGGCAGGAGAATTGCCTGAACCCAGGAGGTGGAGGTTGCGGTGAGCTGAGATCGCGCCATTGCACTCCAGCCTGGGTAACAAGAGCAAAACCCCGTCTCAAAAAAAAAAAATATATATATATATATATATATATATGTTCTAGTATTGAGCTAGTAAGGAAATATACCGTGGCTACTGGCAGCAGATTTCTCTTTATTTTAGATTATAGTTACAGATATGGAAAGTGGAAAGGGTATAATGAATGCTGTGATACTAGCATGGAATTGGCAAGTGTCAGTAGCAACTCATGGTTTTTGAATATGATTAGAGAAAAAAAAACACGTGTGTATATGTATAAACATGTGAAACCCCACACACAGTTCACACACATGCATCTATTTACTAACTTTGCTATGAGGACCTAGGAGAAAGGACACCTCAGTAGCAGTGAATATATCTAGCACTTAGACCTTGGTTGCTAAATAATATTCTCCTCTATTATTTCTTCAAAGGCCAATGCCCTTTGGAGAAATGGGGATTCCAGGGCTGCGGCATGGGAAGTATAAGAGGAGTCTGGAACATACTCTTATGACAGAAAATAAAGAAGCGGTCGAAGAATCATGGGAGCTGGACGTGGTGGCTCACGCCTGTAACCCCAGTTCAAGACCAACCTAGGCAATAACATAGTTAAGACCCTGCCTCTAAAAAAAAGAAAAGAAAAAAGAAAATGACAACATTCGGTGTGGCTGGGTGCAGTGGCATGTCTCAAGGCAAGAGTGAGCTATGATGGTGCTACTGCACTGCAGCCTGGGTGACAGAGTGAGACCCTGTCTCCAAAAAAAAGAAAAAGAATGACAGGGACATAAAAGGATACAGAAGCTAGCTTGAAGGAGCTTTTTTTTTTCCTGTTGAGATAGGGCCTCACTCTGTTGCCCAGGCTGGAGTACACTAGCACAATCAGGGCTTACTACAGCCTTGACCTTTTGGGCTCAAGCAATCCTCCCACTTCAGTCTCCCGAGTAGCTATGAGTACAGGTGAATACTACCATGCCCAGCTAGTTTTAAACATATTTTTGTAGGGGTGGTCTCACTTTGTTGCCTAGGCTGGTCTCAAACTCCTGAGGAGCTCAAAGCATCCTTCCACCTTGACCTCCCAAAGTGCTGTGATTACAGCTTTGAGCCACCTTGCATGGCCACGAAGAAGCTTTTAATGGTCAAATCTAAGATTATTTGAGCACCAAAGTAAAAAATGATAGTAATGATTTAGATTCCATTGAATAAGAATCCACAAGTCTATAACAGGTAGAGGCTCTGTGCCCAGTATAACTAATGTAATGGATACTAAAACCAGTAGGTGGAAGTTTGAGAAGTAACAGGATCTTTACCTAGTCTCAAAGTATATCTCTACAAGAGAATAAAAATAATAACTTTACTGAAGAGAAACCAGATGGACAACACCTCAGCTAACAGTTCAAAGGTCATTACCAGTAATGAGAGAGAGATTTCATGTGCTTCCTGATAGGATGCACTCACTCAGACATGTCATCACTTCTATTCAGGAGGAAACCTCAGACAACCCCCAAAAGTGACCTACATAATAACTGGCCTGCATCTTCCAAAAATATAAAGATTAAGATTTCAGCCGGGCATGGTGGTGCATGCCTGTAATCCCAGCACTTTGGGAGGCCGAGGCGGGTGGCCTCCCCCACCACCTTGGTGGATGCATCACCTGAGGTCAGGAATTCAGGACCAGGCTAACATGATGAAACCCTGTCTCTACTAAATACAAAAAAAATTAGCCGAGCACAGTGGCAGGAGCCTATAATCTAAGCTACTGGGGAGGCTGAGGCAGGAGAATTGTTTGCATCAGGGATGTGGAAGTTATGGTGAGCCAAGATCGTGCCATTGCACTCCAGTCTGGGTAACAACAGCAAAACTCCGTCTCAAATAAATAAATAAATAGATAGATAGATAAATAAAAATAAGATTTCTTTCAATGAAATAACAATTTAAGGAGAAACAAATTTTGCTTTGACTTGACCTTTCCCAGCAACTCCTGGGGCAGATAGGCGTTCCGGGGCTTAAAGAGGGACCCAGTCTGGCTCAAAGTCAACACAATGGCGCCTCCATGCTGAAATAAAGGAGAAAAGGCTGAATTGGAAAAAGTTGAAAAGGACAGAAAACTGCAATTGTATCATCTGTAGATTTTTCTTTTCTTTCTTGGACATACAGTGTTACAGAAGTGTGGTCTAGAACAGTTAAATGGCCACTAAATTGGTTAGTCCAGATTTAGCTCCGATAATAAACTGCTGCCTGATTTTAAATTTATCATGACATACTTTTGGGTCTTCAACTCTTTCCCAAAGATGGTAAGGAAATACAAAAACACTTTAAATGACCGCAAGCAAAATAAAATTAGGCCAACATTTAAATAAAGTGATTTTGAATAAACTTACTCCAGTTAAGTGGAAAGATTATAAACCACATACACAGATTTTAATTCGGGCCTTATTTGTAACTTGGTACAGGCACGCGAATTAAATAATAACTTACCATCTATAAAATCAGATACTGGAAAGTCTCTGATTTTATAGAAGGTAAGTTATTATCTTATTTAATTAGCAATGAAATAGTAGAGCATGTTTAAAATGAAAACACATTGCTTTCTGAAATGTGTCAGGCATCATATGCACTTACCCAATCGTTTTTCACCATTTTCCTCAGGTTGTGAACAAGTGCTAATTCCTCTGGGGCAATCTGAGTATTGGACAGAAAGAGAGAAGAGATCATCACATGCTTTTCTCAGATGTTCTCCTGAAACAACTGATAATTTTTAAAAAACTCTCAACTAAGACATAATTGTGTACCTGAAGGTACTCCCCCGGGATAAGCCACATAGCCTCTGGCCCTAGAACTGCCATCCTTCTGGAGATTAACGGTCACCGAGAAAAACACCTACCGCCCCAAACCAGTCCCATTTTGATACTTTTGATCTCCTCTGCTTAGACCATTTAGCCTCATTTTGAAAACACAATCAAAAGCCAGAAAAAAATAAGAAAGAAATTACAGCTTCTGCTGTCATGCCCTTTGCATAACACACTCCCATAGTTTTCAGTGAATAGTGGTACTCTTGGCATTACCTTCTCCTCTGATTCCATTTACTGTTTATCTTTTTTTTCCCACCCAAATCTCTTTAATCTTTTTTTTTTTTTGGACAGAGTCTCATTCTGTTGCCCAGCTAGAATGCAGTGGTGCAATCTCCACTTATTGCAGCCTCTGGCTCTTGGGCTCAAGCCATCCTCCCATCTCCGCCTTCCAAGTGGCTGCAACTACATACAGGTGCACACCACCATGCCCAGCTAGTTTTTGTTATTTTTTGTAGAGAAAGGGTTTCACTATGTTGCCCAGGCTGATCTCAAAACTCCTGGACCCATTCAATCCATCCACCTTGGCCTCCTAAAGTGCTGGGATTCAGGCATCAGCTACTACACCAGTCCTTGCTGTTTATCTTTATGTATGTATGTATGTGTATGTATGTATGTATGTGTGTGTGTGTGTGTAAGACAGAGTTTCACTCTTGTTGCCCAGGCTGGAGTGCAACAGTGTGATCTCAGCTCACCACAACCTCCGCCTCCCAAGTAGCTGGGATTACAGTCATGCACCACCACACCTGGCTAATTTTGTATTTTTAGTAGAGATGGGGTTTTTCCATGTTGGTCAGGCTGGTCTCTAACTCCTGACCTCAGATGATCCACCTACCTCAGACTCCCAAAATGCTAGGAATACAGGCGTGAGCCCCTGAGTCCAGCCATATATATAAATACATAATTTTTTGTTAAGAGCCAGGATCTCGCTGTGTCACCCAGGTTGGAGTGCAGTGTTGCAATCATGCCTCATTACAACCTTGAACTCCTAGGCTCAAGTGATCCTTACTCAACCTCCCAGTAGCAGTGACTACAGGTGTGTGCCACCCTGGCTACTGGCTGATCTCTTATTTTTTTAGAGACAGGGGCCTTGCTATGGTGCTGGTCTTGAACTCCTGGCCTGAAGTGATCCTCCTGCCTTAGTCTCCTTAGCCACTAGGATTACAGCTGTGAGCCACTGCACCTAGCTCTTTACTGTTGATTTTACTTCAAACATTCCTAGGGCAAGAAAACATATCATATGGTCTACAAGGCTAAGACCCAGCCTCTGTTCTGATAGAACCAGAAATCAGAGAAATGAGACAGACACCCAGTTTTCCTACCGGTCTTTTATCTTCTCTTTTGAGAGTAGTCCTTCCCCAGACAGCATTGATTCCATCCACAGCCACCAGGAGGTGAAAAATACCCAAAGAACTTTGCCTCTTTAACTCTTTCAGCACAATTCCAACTGCATCTGTGGCGTTCCTCACCCGTGTTATGCCCTATTGGGAGAGACAGTGGATTGCAGTGCTGCCAGAGGCCTTCTCTTGTTATCACGTTACACATCAGTGTCTTTTCTTTATTATTATTATTTTTCAGTGTCTTTTCTTATACCTGTTCAACCACTTCTCCCAGAGGACTGCCTTTCTCAGTGCTTTCTCTCTTATTCCAGACATACTTCTCTTGAACTTTTATCTAAAAGCAAGCAAAGAAAATAAAAACCAAAAAAAGACTACTTGACCTAAGGGTGAACCCATCCCTTGAAAAGGTGGAGGCTAAGATGAACAGGAGTCCATTTTAGTCTACTGCTCAGGTTCTGTAGGAGACCTCAGTGTGGAAGTGAATGCTTTTTTCTTTTCCCTTTTTTCTCTTTTGAGACAAGACTCTCGCTCTGTCACCCAGCCTGGAGCGTAGTGGCACAATCTCAGCTCACTGTAACCTCCACCTCCCATGTTCAAGCAATTCCTCTGTCTCAGCCTCCTGAGTAACTGGACCTACAGGCATCTACCACCATGCTGACTAATTTTTTGCATTTTTAGTAGAGATGGGATTTTGCCATGTTGCCCACGCTGGTCTTGAACTCCTAGGCTCAAGCAATGCCCCCCCAACTCAGCCTCCAAAAGTGCTGGGATTACAGGCATGAGCCACACTGTGCCCTGCCAACATGAATGCTTTCTAATCCATTTCTGCTTAGTGCCTTGAAAAAACATACATAAAGAATTCTGATGGGGCTAGGTGCGGAGGCTCACGCCTGTACTCCCAGCACTTTGGGAGGTCGAGGCGGGTGGATCATGAGGTCAAGAGATCAAGACCATCCTGGTCAACATGGTGAAACCCCGTTTCTACTAAAAATACAAAAAATTAGCTGGGCATGGTGGCGCGTGCCTGTAGTCCCAGCTTCTCGGGAGGCTGAGGCAGGAGAACTGCCTGAACCCCGGAGGCGGAGGTTGCAGTGAGCTGAGATCGCGCCATTGCACTCCAGTCTGGGTAACAAGAGTGAAAATCCGTCTCAAAAAAAAAAAAAAGTAATTCTAATGAAAATGTCCAGAATGAGACTCTGGCATCTGCATTTATAATAAGCTCTTAGGTGACTGCTTTATACCTAGAATTGAAGTCCCCTGGTAGACAGGGTATCCAAGAATCACCAGGGTAAAGAAGAATTTTTCCAATACATTTCTTGTTCCCTAAAAATATCTTATCCTGAGAAGATCATGCAGTTTGGAAATGTTCTTGCAAGGGACTGGAAACTATACCTTTTTTTATTTTTTTGAGACAGAGTCTCACTCTGCACCAGGCTTGAGTGCAGCGGTGTGATCTCAGCTCACTGCAACCTCCGCCTCCCAGATTCAAGCAATTCTCCTACCTCAGCCTCCCCAGTAGCTGGGACTATAGGCATTCACCAACACACCTGGATAATTTTTGTATTTCTAGTAGAGACGGAGTTTCACCATGTTGGCCAGGATGATCCCGATCTCTTGACCTCGTGATCCACCTGCCTCACCCTCCCACAGTTCTGGGATTACAGGCATGAGCCACCGTGCCCAGTTGGAGACTGTACCTTGAAAAGTCAATGAATCAACTGGATTTCACTTTGCTACCCACAAAATGGGAACAACTTACTGCTGCCTCTTTATTTCACAATGAATGAGTTTCAAGTTATGAGTCCGCTGTGAGCAAAACATATGAAAGAAACTAAAAAGGATACAGTTATTCCAACTCCAATATCAGGTCTCCCTAGTCTATTGGTACTCAGGGCACAAACAGGACAGAATCCATATTGACTACCTAGCACTTAACTGCTACGAGTCTAGTCACCTGGTTCAGGAAGCGCTCATTTGTAGTTTTGAAATTCTTCAGCCAGGATGAAGCCTCCAAAGGTTGATCAAAGCGCTGTTTGTTGTAGTTGGACTGCAGAAGTTCCCGGCAATTTTTCACCCAAAGATGAGCTTTAAAAAAGGCAGAAGAAAACAAACTAGGCAGAAACTATATTCACCTGGAAATATTCCAGCCTCTTTAAGTTATAAGAAATGACTTTAGTTTCTCGTATATATATATTTTTTTTCTTTTCTTTTTTTGAGACAGAGTTGCCTAGGCTAGAAGGCAGGATGAGATCACAGCTTACTGTAACTCTGAACTCCTAAAAGCTCAGGCAATCCTCCTACCTCAGCCTCTCAAAGTGCTGGTGAACTACTGTGCTTGGCCTTGTCAGGTCCATCTTACACTAAACATCATCATTAGAATCAATATATAAAGCATACTAAGTGGATTAAATATTACTTCTGCTTACTGGTAAGTTTGAAAGGTAAGTCAGAAAATATGGATGTTATATGAGCAGGTTTGTTTAAAAAAAAGAAAATGTGCATGCACACAACACTGAACAAAAAAGGGATATACGCAAAGTGTAATATCCCTCAAGTTTTGACCATCCATACTGATGACTCTAGAATGTTGATAAATAGTAAAAGGCTCTATGGGTGCTCAGAATTATTAACCAATGGCAAAAACAAAAACTCCATGGGGACCTGTAAGGCAGGAGTTTATGCTCATGGGTATTAAATATCAAAAGGAGGGCTGCTTAGCATCAAAAGGCTTCAGGAAGCTTTTAGCCCAATTTCCTTTTGTCACATTGACTTCACCTTGTAACCTGCTTGGGAGTAGTATCACGAAGAAATATTGATGAATGAGCTCTGACTGGTCTATGTCTGGAGCAAAGGCTTTTCTTTTTTCTTTTTTTGAGACATGGTCTTGCTTTGTTGCCGAGGCTAGAGTGCAGAGATGCAATCACAGCTCACTGCAGCCTCCTCCTGGGCTTAAGCGATATTCCGGCCTCAGCTTCCCAAAGTGCTGGGATTATAGATGTGAGCCATCATGACTGGCAAAGGCTTTTCTTTTAGTTATCAGACCCCTGTTAGAAATATTAAAGTTAAGGTCGAGTGCGGTGGCTCACACCTGTTATCCCAGCACTTGGAGGCTGAGGCGGGTGGATCACCTGAGGTCAGAAGTTCGAGCCCAGCCTGGCCAACATGATGAAACCCTGTCTATACTAAAAATACAAAAATCAGCTGGGCATGGTAGCATGTGCCTGTAATCCGAGCTTTTCAGAAGGCTGAGGAAGGAGAATCACTTGAACCTGAGAGGGGGAGGTTGCACTGAGCTGAGATAGCACCATTGTCTCCAGCATGGATGATAAGAATGAAACTCTGTCTCAAAAAAAAAAAAAAGAAAAGAAAATTAAAGTTGCAAGGTTTAATAACAGATAAGTGAACCTAACTGAAGAAAAGACAGGAAGATCTTACCATCTGGAATATGTAGTATGAGCCAGTCCTGTTTTGCACAGAAATGAATAACATGGCAAAGACTGAGGGTTTTTCCTGTTCCCTTCTCCCCATCTAAAGTACATGTTGTTAAAGAAAACATTGAGTAGAAGGGTCACTTGTACTATGAACAGTACTTATGTTTTGTTTTTTTTTTTGAAATGGAGTCTTCTCTGTCCCCAGGCTAGAGTACAGTGGCTTGCTCTCAGCTCACAGCAACCTCTGCCTCCTGGGTTCAAGCGATTCTCCTGCCTCAACCTCCTGGGTAGCTGGGATTACAGGCACTCACCACTGGGCCTGGCTAATTGTTTGTATTGTTAGTAGATGTGCGGTTCTGCCATGTTGGCCAGGCAGGTCTTGAACTCCTGATTTCAGGTGATTCGCCTGTTTTAGCCTCCCAAAGTGCTGGGATTACAGGTGTAAGCCATCGCACCAGCCTCAACAGTACCTTTTTGCATTTCTTCTTTTCCTTTCTTTGAGGAGAGAAAGCATTGGTTCATGAGGGTCCAGGCACGCAGGAAAGGATACACAGAAGATATCGTACAGCCGGATAAGAAAAATTGGTGTTTTTCAGGTAATGCAGAAGTTCTAGGGCTGGTTTCCTTACCATCAGGTAAGCTTCACTGAATGTCTTCACCTGATAAAATAGGAAAGAAGGAAGGAGTGGGTGGGGTGTGGAACTTCTAACCAGTTCTTGGTATACACACACTGCTTAAAGTGGCAACTAAGACCATCAAATGGCATGCCTCTAATTCATTCAGTTAGGAGAGGGTGGGTTGGTAATGAGTTTGAAAATCTATCCATATAACTTAGCTAAAAACTGAAATACATTATTCCACACCAAGTAACATGATAGCCAGCTTTTGATTATTCCTGAATCAGATATTATCTCAGCTGAAATCTATAAATAATTAATATATCTCATTAAAAAATTATGTAAACCATTTAGGGTCACTGTAAATATGTAAAGTATATAGAAAAACACTTAAAATATCTGACATGAGTTAATCATTCAATAAACATTAACACTTAAAAAAAATTTTGTTTTTGAGATGGAATTTCGCTCTTGTTGTCCAGACTGGAGTACAATGGCACAATCTCAGCTCACCACAACCTCCACATCCTGGTTCAAGCGACTCTGCTGTGTCAGCCTCCCAAGTAGCTGGGATTACAGGTATGCGCCACCACACCCAGCTAATTTTGTATTTTTAGTAGAGATGAAGTTTCTCCATGTTGGTCAGGCTGGTCTCAAACTCCTGACCTCAGGTGATCCACCCGCCTTGGCCTCCCAAAGTGCTAAGATTACAGGCATGAGCCACCATGCCCAGCCTAGAATTTATTTTTAGTTAATTTATTAACTAAATTTATTACTTTAACCATTTTGACTTTTTTCTCTAGAACTAAATACATAGCAGCTCCAGAGGAGGTATGACCTGCTACCCACAACTCTAAGGCCATCCATACCTCACACTTCCAGCATACTAACCTTTCAGAGTTTACGGGTTCATTCCCCTTTTGTCACCAAAATACTTTGGGGGGAAACCTGGGAAGCACTAATGTGTATGAAAATGATATGCAAAGAAAGTATTAAAATATGTCTACTAATAAGAATATCTAACAAATACTGTTTGTAAGTCTAACTAAAAGAGTGTCAATTTTTATTTTTATTTATTTATTTATTTATTTATTTTTGAGACAGAGTCTCACTCTGTTACATAGGCTGGAGTGTAGTGACAACATCTCGGCTCACTGCAATGTTCACCTCCCAGGTTCAAGCAATTCTTTTGCTTCAGCCTCCCAAGTAGCTGTGACTACAGGTGTGTGTCACCACGCCTAGCTAATTTTTCTGTTTTTAGTACAGATGGAGTTTCATGTTGGTCAGGCTTGTCTTGAAGTCCTGGCCTCAAGTAATCTGCCCACGTCAGCCTCCCAAAGTGCTGGGACTATAGGCGTGAGTCACTGTACCCAGCCAGTGTTGATATTTTTAAAAGAAATCCTAACAAAACAATTGAATTGTTGTAGGATTTCACAGATAATTCCAAGCTTAATCGAAAGTTCAATGTTCAAAAAAATATGATAGATATTAAAACAAATGTCAGCCAGGCACGGTGGCTCATGCCTGTAATCCCAGAACTTTGGGAGACCAAGGCAAGTGGATCACCTGAGGTCAGGAGTTCGAGACCAGCCTGGCCAATATGGTGAAACCCTGTCTCTACTAAAAACACAAAAATTAACCGGGCATGGTGGTGAGTGCCTGTAATCCCAGCTACTTGGGAGGCTGAGGCGGGAGAATAGGAGGATCACTTGAACTCAGGAAGTGGAGGTTGCAGCGAGATGAGATCGCACCACTGCACTCCAGCCTGGGCGATAAGAGTGAAACTCTGTTTCACAGAAAAATGTCACATCAGGGCTGGGAGCTGTGGCTCACACCTGTAATCGCAGCACATTGAGATGCCAAGACAGGAGGATCGCTTGAGTCCAGGAGATCAGAGATGTAGAGTGTGCTGTGGTCACACCACTGTACTCCATCCAGTTTGGTTGTCAGAGTGAGACCCTGTCTCTATAGTTAAAAAAAATAATAATTTGCCAGGCATGGTGGCTTACGCCTGTAATCCCAGCACTTTGGGAGGCTGAGGCAGGTGGATCATGAGGTCAAAAGATTGAGACCATCCTAGCCAAGATGGTAAAACCCTGTCTCTACTAAAAATACAAAAATTAGCTGGGTGTGGTGGCACATGCCTGTAATCCCACCTACTTGGGAGGCTGAGGCAGGAGAATTGCTTGTACCCAAGAGGCAGAGGTTGCAATGAGCTGAGATCGTGCTACTGGACTCCAGCCTGGCCATAGAGCAAGATTCCGTCTGAAAATAAAAAAGATAATAATGATAAAATAGGCCGGCACAGTGGCTCATGCCTGTAATCCCAGCACTTTGGGACGCCAAGGTGGGCAGATCACCTGAGGTTGGGAGTTTGAGACCAGCCTGACCAATATGGAGAAACCCCATCTCTACTAAAAATATAAAATTAGCCGGGCATGGGGGCACATGCCTGTAATCCCAGTTACTCAGGAGGCTGAGGCAGGAGAATGGATTGAACCCGGGAGGCAGAGGTTGTGGTGAGCCAAGATCATGCCACTCCAGCCTGGGCAACAAGAGGGAAACCAGCTCAAAAAAAAAAAAAAAAAAAATTGGCTAGGCGTGGTGGCTCACTCCTGTAATCCCAACACTTTGGGAGGCTGAGGTAGGCAGATCACAAGGTCTGGAGTTCAAGACCAGCCTGATCAACATGGTGAAACCCTGTCTCTACTAAAAATACAAAAATTAGCCAGCATGGTGGTACCTGCCTATAATCCCAGCTACTCAGGAAGCTGAGGCAGAAGAATTGCTTGAAACAGGACCCGGGAGGTGGAGGTTGCAGTGAGCTGAGATCACGCCACTATATTCTAGCCTGGGCTACAGAGTGAGACTCCATCTAAAAAAAAAAAACAAAAACAAAAAACAAAAAAAAACCACAACATAATAATAATAAAACAGAGTCAGCTACTCTCAGCCCACTGCCCATGAGTTAGGTCTGCTCCAAAAGGAGCAGTATTAAAAAAAAAAAAAAAGTCATATTAGGCAATATGACAATGCTAATATACAAATAGTGGTGAGGCAGAGGTTGTGGTGAGCCAAGATCATGCCACTCCAGCTTGGGAGTGGCATGATTTTCATAAATGAAAATTATGTATACATTCTTCCAGAGCATTGTTGGTTAAGCCAATCTGAAAACAATGTCAAATAGGTAAAGATAGAACCTCACAACCCTGAAGCTAAATAAAGATTGTACCATGAATGTCTTGGAACAGTTTAAAGTGCCACTGCAGATGACTGCTTCTGGTTGTGTTCCATTTCTAATCTTAACAAAAAAAATTTTTTTTAATTGAAATTGTTTTTTGGAGACAGAGTTTCACTCTGTTGCCTGAGTGGAGTGCTGCAGCACTGTCGTAGCCCACTGCAGCCTAAACTCTGGGCTCAGGTCATCCTCCTGCTTCAGCCTCCTAAGTAGCTACCATACTGGACTAAATGCTTTTCTTTTCTAAATAGAGATACGGTCTCATAATGTTGCCCAGCTGGTCTTGAACTCCTGCGCTAAAAGAATCCTCCCACCTTGGCCTCCCAAAGTGCTGAGACTACAGGCATAAACTACCTTGCCTGGCCTGTTACTCCTTATTTTATTTCATGCTTGAGATAAGATCTTGCTCTATTGCCCAGGCTGGGGTACAATCACTGAAGCCCCCACCTCCTGAGTTCAAGAGATCCTCCCACCTCAGCTACCTGAGTAGTTATGACTACAGGTGTGCATCACGCCCAGCTAATTTATTTTTTAGTTTTGTAGACACAGGTCTCCCTGTGTTGCCCAGACTGGTCTTGAACTCCTGGGCTCAAGTGATCCTTCCACCTTGGCCTCCCAAGTGCAACTGGGATTACAGGCATGAGCCATAGAGCCCAGCCTGTTATGCCCTTATTATTCATCTAATTGCCTGAAATAAACCACACTGAAGAAATGAGAGCCTCTGGCTCGCACGCTAAAACTCACCTGCACAGGCAAGTTTGATATGTCATTAAGAAAGAATAATTTCTGATGCTGAAAATTTGGTAGAAGCCAGTTAGAAGAATCAATTGTGCAAAAAAAACTTTGGCCAGCCACCCAGTATGGCCAAAAGCTTGAGATATATTTAAAACATACCCTGCTGAGATATATTTAAAACATACCTTGCTGAGAGAATAGAAACTGATGCATCTAATCAAACTATCGCTTCAGGCTAGTCTAGAACTCCTGGGCTCAATAACCAGGAATTCTTTCAATGGTTATATAGCAATCCAAGATTACACTCCTTGGCTTGAAATTATGGCCACAAAACATCTTCACAAAATCCACGAGAGAAACCGATGCATCTAATCAAAATATCACTTCTATTTAGCATAGGGGTGTATTATGATTTTGCTTTTGTACAGCATATTAACTAACTTCATGATATTTTGCCAAGGCAAATTTTAAGTTCATTTAATACAATTAACTTCAGCATCAGCTGAAGTTACTGGAATCTTCTTGGACTACAAAGGAGGAAAACATCAATATTGTTTAAACATGAGCTTAAAGTAATTATACTAGACACAAAAGGTAATCAACAGATGAATTTTCTGTTTTTCAGATTAAAATTTCATCTTTTATTGTTTTCTTCTGATTTAGCCGCACCCCTTTGCTAGCAGCAGCTTGTATTCTGGGCTCCCCCCAGTTCCATTCCCTGTGTTGAGCACCTGCATCACAAAGCGAGGAGGAAGGCCATGGGGAAATACAGTCTTCAAATCCTGGGGGGAGATGTTGTAGTGCTGACCCTCGTGCTGATCCCCATGCTTAGCCTAGGAAATAAGAGTGCAAAACAGGTATAATGGTGACAAAGTGACCAAGACTTTCTTCTTTTTGTTTTTCTTATCTGTATTTGCATTTTATATATATATACACACACACACGTACACATATATACATGTGTGTATATATAAGTATATATATATATACACAAATATAAGTATATACACACGTATATATGTATACGTATGTATATACACACATATACATTTTTTAAATTTTAGATCTTTTGCTCAACAGTGGTTATTTCAGTATATATATATTTTTTTAATGGAGTTTCGCTTTTGTCACCCAGGCTAGTGAGCAATGGCGCAATCTTGGCTTACCGCAATCTCCACCTCCTGGGCACAAGCATTTCTCCTGCCTCAGCCTCCCAAGTAGCTGAAATTACAGACGTGCCACCTTGCCCAGCTTAGTTTTGTATTTTTAGAAGAGATGGGGTTTTACCATGTTAACCAGGCTGATCTCCATCTTCCGACCTCAGACAATCAGCCTGACTCAGACGATCAGCCTGCCTCAGCCTCCCAAAGTGCTGGGATTACAGGCATGAGCCACCTTGCCCAGGCTTATCGTCTCATCTGTGACCATGACTTTGAAAATCGGGTAAGGCCTGCTATTCGCTCATGTCTTTTTGTCTTTTTTTCTTTTTTGAGACAGGGTCTTGCTTGCTTGCCCAGGCTGAAGTGTGGTGGTGCAATCAGGGATCACTGAGGCCTCCAATTCCCACACTCAAATATCCTCCCGCCTGAGCCTCATGAGTAGCTGGGACCACAGGTGTGTACCACCACACCTGGTTAATTTTTTACTTTTTTGGTAGAGATGAGGTCTTGCTATGTTGCCCAGATTCGTCTTAAACTCCTGAGCTCAAGTAATCCTCCCACTTTGGCCTCTAAAAGTTTTGGGATAACAGGTGTGAGCCACCACACCTGGACCATTCTTCTCTTAAAGCTGGAAAAGGTATCTCCCATTGTTTTGAGACAGCCTGCTGCCTAGGCTGAAGTGCAGTGGCTGGATCTCAGCTGACTGCAGCCTTGACCTCCTGGGCTCAAGTGATTCTTGCACCTAAACCTCTTGAGTAGCTGGGACTACACTATGCATTGCTAATTTAAAAAAATTTTTTATAGGCACAGTGGCTCACGCCTGTATTCCCAACACTTTGGGAGGCCAAGGTGGGCTGATCACCTGAGGCCAGGAGTTCAAGACCAGCCTGGCCAACATGATGAAACTCTGTCTCTACTAAAAATATAAAACTGGCCAAGCTCGGTGGCTCACGCCTATAATCCCAACATTTTGGGAGGCCGAAGTGGGAGGATCATGAGGTCAAAAGATCAGGACCATGCTAGCCAACATGGTGAAACACCGTCTCTATTAAAAATACAAAAATTAGCTGGGCGTGGTGGCATGTGCCTGTAGTCCCAGCTACTTAGGAAGCTGAGGCAGGAGAATCACTTGAACTTGGGAGGCGGAGGTTGCAGCAAACTGAGATCATGCCACTGCACTCCAGCCTGGCGACAGAGCAAGACTCTGTCTCAAAATAAATTAATAAATAAAAATAAAAAACCTAGCTAGATGTGGTGGCAGCTGCCTGTAATCCCAGCTACTTGGGAGGCTGAGACAGGAGAACAGCTTAAACCTGTGAGGTGAAGGTTACAGTGAGCCGAGACTGTGCCATTGCACTCTAGCCTGGGCAAGAAGAGCGAAACTCCATCTCAAAAAAAAAAAAAAATTTTTTTAATAGAGTTGAGGTCTTGCTATGTTGCCCAGGCTAGTCTAAGACTCCTAGGCTCATGTGATCCTCGCACCTTGGCCTCCCAAAGTGCTGGGATTACAGGCATGAGATACTGTGCCCGGTCTCATTTATAGTAGCCAAGAATGCTGGTTGCTGTCTCCAAACCCAGCATGTATATAAAAGTGGTGGCCCAAATAATGAAGCCAATTGCTCATCAAAGTAAACTGTAGATGTAGAGGTAGCAGAGACAATTCTTGCCATCTTGATTCTTCTGTACTGTCTATAGAGATGCTCCAATCATGTGACAAGATTATCTGGGACTACAGGTGCATGACACTATGCACTGCTAATTAAAAAAATTTTTTTTTGGCCAGGTATGGTGGCTCACGCCTATAATCCTGGAACTTTGGGAGGCTAAAAACAGCATGCTGCTGTTTTCATAGAAACACCAGAGGAATTGGCAGATAAAGGAAATATAATTACAGAGAAAGCTGAAAGACACTTCAGTGGCTTGATTTATTTATTCTGTTACATTTTGTGCTTGTGAATATAAATGCTAGAGACATATATATTTTTTTCTTTTTGAGATGGAGTCTTGATCTGTTGCCCAGGCTGGAGTACAGTGACGTGATCCTGGCTCACTGCAACTTCTGCCTCCCGGGTTCAAGTGATTCTCTTGCCTCAGCCTCTAGAGTAGCTGGGATTACAGGTGACCGCCACCACACACGGTTAATTTTAGTATTTTTAGTAGAGATGAGGTTTCACCAAGTTGGTCAGGCTGGTCTAAAACTCCTGACCTCATGTGATCCACCTGCCTCAGCCTCCAGTCTGGGAGCAAATAGTAAGTGAAAGGGATGACAGTCGTGAGCCACCCCACAAGGTCAAAGGCTAGAGATATATTTAAAAGATACCCTGCTGAGATCAGATTTTGGGTAATGGAAGATTATTTTTTTCCTTCCACATAGCCTTTATTAAGATGGGAAGTCTCAGATGGTAGGGGCAGGGAAAGAAAGCTGCTGGTTCTTCACATTACAGCACAAACCACTAATTAATTTCATTTATGAGAGGCAGCAACAAAAAAGAAATCAATGTGCAGTCTAATGAGGAACTGAACTAGAAAATGCAACACTAGATACTGCTGGAAACCTGATCTTGTGCAGATAAACTTTACTTTAAATGATGCTCTTCTCATAACAAATCAAGTTAGTTCCCTCTGCAGACGCTAGGAAATCCACTTACAAAACCGCAAAATAGCACCAGATTGCTTATTAGAAAAACCGGGTTCTGAGTCTGCCCTGGTAGAAAATTGTGGGGAAGTAGTTTAATTTCTTTAGCATTCTCCATACCAGAAGTTGGTAAGTTATGGCTGGGCACCTGTTTTGTAAGCAAAGTTTGACTGGAACATGTTCACACCCATTCGTTGATGGCAGACTTGAGTACTGGTGACAGACCATCCCGGTCCATCAGCCTAAAATATTCACTACATGAACCTTTAAGGAAAAGTTTATCACCCACCACAAATAGGAGCAATGATAACTGGTAAATTTCCCCTGTAAGAAATTAAACTTGGTAAGTATTGAGTATTTGACAACTCTATGCTCAGCAAAATCTGTGGCACTAGGTGACTTCAGCAGTAGAAATTACATGGGAGCAGATATGGACTGAGCTGGCCAGTGTTATGTTACCACAGTATCAGACAGGTACAGGGAGAATCTGGGTTTCAGAGTGCTATCTCAGGTGCACTGTCTATCTGACTAAATGCACATCTACTTTGCTTGTTTATTTCAGTTTTCCTATGCAAAATGAGGGTAGAAACACAAATCCTAAGTCCCGAGAAACCCCATGTACACATTAGTAACTCACCGGGTCATTCTCATTGGTGCGGGAAATAGCTCTGGGACTCCCAACTGGAACCTGGTTATCTAGGTGAGCAGCAATGCTTTGGTGTGCCTGGGTTCCCACATGTAAAGAACGCCCAGGGTCCAACTATAAGAGAAACGATTTCAGTGTTTTTGGGTTATCAAACTTTTTATGGTTGCTATAACACTGCGAATGTGAGCCATGTCTGCAACAGGGATGTCACTAATGTACATTTTCCTTCTATGTAAAAGGATCCTTGTTATTATTTATATTCACTAAGTCCAGTGACATTGTTCATATTCTGTATCTGTTCCAGCCTGTGTATTGCCTTATCAGGGATCTGTCCCATATGGAAACAAATAATTCTGTCAGAGATTGTTCAGGAGCATATGTAGCAAAGCCACTAACAAACCTGAAGCAGGAAAGCTCTTTAAATGCACTTGCACAGTGGTGAATGGCTGCCAATACCGTGTAATTCTCAGCTGTCAGTCACCTCAGTTATGAATCAATCAGTGCAATGCTCCTCACTGTGAGAGCTATAATTACACACCCTGTAACAATTTTCCTGCTAACTGCGCCCTGGAATAAAGAATCTTTCATTAGAGACATGTAATAAGGGAGCATGTCAAATACGCAGCTAAGTGAAAGTAAACTGCTCTGTATGCAACTCAGTGGACTATACACTGAAACCTCCGAACCAACAGCGAGGGGAAGGGGGGATGTCAGGAGACAAATCTGACAAAATGGTAAGTGAAGAACCCCAAAACCGAGCTTAAGGACAAGCGTCATGTAGAAAGTGAAAAGAAGTGTTACGAGGAAAAGATTAGGGAATGCAGCCAGGAGAAGTGAGAGGACAGAAATATAAGGGATAGTGTAATAAGGGAGTAGCTTAATAAACAGGTTATAATATGAAAGCTACCTGTATTTCATACTCTCACCAAGCAGCTTTTCTCTCTCTTTTTAAGACAGGGTCTTGCTGTGTCACCCAGATTGGAGTACAGTGGCACGATCAAGGCACACTGCAGCCTCAAACTCTAAGGCCCAAGTTTGTTTCTTCAGCATAGCAATCTGAGTAATACACCTTAGTACTACTTAAACGCTACTCAATTTTATCTACCGGAGAGAAAGCACCATGTCTTTACAAAGCAGAGTGGAAAACAAACTATTCAAGGGCCACAAGGTGGTGCTATTTCCACAGTAATGTGATGACATTTTTATTACATTTTTTTTTTTTTTTGAGATAGGGTGGGGTCTTGCTATATTGCCAGGCCAGTCTCAAATTCCTGGGCCCATGTGATCTCCTGCCTCAGCCTCCCAAGTAGCTGAAACAACAGCTACTTTTTTTTTCGATGGTGTTTTGCTCTTGTTGCCCAGACTAGAGTGCAATGGTGTGATCTCAGCTCACTGCAACTTCCACCTCCTGGATACAAGCAATTCTCCTGCTCGTATCTACTGCCAAAGCCTCCAGAGTAGCTGGGATTACAGGCAACTGCCACCAAGCCCGGCTAATATTTTTGTATTTTTAGTAGAGACCAGGTTTCAGCATGTTGGCCAGGCTGGTCTCGAACTCCTGACCTCAGGTAATCTGCCCGCCTTGGCCTCCCAAGGTGCTGGGATTTCAGGCATGATCGACTGTGCCCAGATTTTTTTTTTTTTGAGACAGAGTATCACTTTTTGCTCAAGCTGGAGCACAATGGCATGATCTCAGCTCACCACAACCTCTGCTTCCTGGGTTCAAGTGATTCTCCTGCCTCAGTCTCCTGAGTAGCTGGGATTGATTACAGGCATGGGCCACTATGCCTAGCCAAATTTGTATTTTTAGTAGAGACGGAGTTTCTTCATGTTGGTCAGGCTGGTCTCGAACTCCCAACTGAAGGTGATCCTCCCACCTCTGTCTCCCAGAGTACTGGGATTACAGGTATAAGCCACCGCACCTGGCCACAACAGTTACTTTTTGAAGCAAATTATAAGCTAGCAAAATGGAATCTTTAGTTCTTTAGAGTTTTATATATATCATTCAAGTAGACTCTTGTTTCCAGAGAAAACAACCATGTGTACTACAATTGCTTCCATACAGTTCCAGAATGAACATCCTGCAGTTTCTGAAAGAACATTTGTTGGCCAATCTAGGAGGTCACTGTGATGGTTAAGATTAGGCATCAACTTGATTGGATTAAAGGATGCAAAGTATCGTTCCTGGGTGTGTCTGTGTGCGGGTGTTGCCAAAGGAGATTAGCACTTGAGTCAGTGGACTGAGAGAGGCCAACCCACCCTCAACGTGGGTGGGCACCATCTAATCATCTGCCAGCAGGGCTAGAATAAAGCAGACAGAAGAAGGTGGGATGAACCGACTTAATGAGTCTTCCAGCCTTCATGTTTCTACTGTGCTAGATGCTTCCTGTCATTGAACACTGGACTCCTTTTCAAGTACTTCACCTTTTGGACTCTTGGATTTACCATAGTGATTTTCCAGGGGCTCTCAGGCCTTCAGCCACAGACGGAAGGCTCCACTGTCAGCTTCCCTACTTTTGAGGTTTTGGGACTGGGACTGGCTTACTTGCTGCTCAGCTTGCTCATGGCCTACTGTGGGACTTTGCCAGATGGTGTGACTGAATACTCCTTAACAAACTCTCCTTCATATATACTTCTATTAGTTCTGTCCCTGTAGAGAACTCGGACTAATACAGTCAACCTGAACCAAACCTGACTAATACAATCACCCTGAACCAAACTAAAACAAACAAACAAAAACTAAAACCACAAAACCAAAACCTAAAAACTTTCTCTTAGCCTCAGCGCTACAGAATTGACTAACCCAGCTCAGGTGCTCCTCTTGCGTGATGTAAAAGCACCATACTGTAATAGTCATTTATTCATGATTCTACTGGACTATAAGCTTCTGGAGAACACGGACCATAGAATTCGATACAGCACAGTGGTTAGGCCACAGGCTTTGGAGTCAGACAGACCTGGCACCTTGTCTGGGCTTTGCAACTTCACAGGCTGTTTCCTCAGGTGAGTTACCTAGCCATTCTCATCTTTAGTTTCTACATTTGTGAAACAAGTATATTATCTCATCCATGGGTTGATTATGAGGATTAAGGAAATAAATCACTTAGTGTAGTACCTGGGGCATAATGCCAAATGAATAATAACTACTATTAGTGAAATGAGGCATCTTAGAATTCTGAGAACCTGCCATATAGAAGATACTGAAAAACTATTTGGTAAATAAATGAAAAAATGAAGTAAACCAGCAGAATGGTCTTTTTCATGTACGATTTTATTTTTTATTCTATTTTAGATGCTCAAGTTGTAAATTGGCAACTTGTTTTTCTTTTAAGTACTTCATTAAGGGATGATAACCATTAATCCAACTAGAGAAACAAAGTTAATAAAGATAATTACAGTCAAACTTTGTGTTTATGGAGAAATGTTAATTCTCCTATACCATGGTAAATTCTCAAGCCAATTTTTCTACTGAAACCTGCTGCAGATGAAGTTTTCCAGAGCATTTTACTCTAGATACAATGAATCCATCTAAAAACAAGAATTCTACCTAAAGGCAGTATGCACAGTGTTCAGGTCAGTCAGGACTCACCTTACGGATCTTAGAGATAAGCCTTGTTATTCCTTTCAGCATTGTCCTTGGACTCTTAAAAAAAAAAAAAGTGAACAGGTATGGGAAAAGATATTTGCAACATGGAAAATTGACAATGAATTAATATGGATTCATAATTTACCTTAATATCTAAAATATATAGAGAATGCCTAATAGCTTCATAAAGAAAATGAGCAAAAGACACAAACAGGTATTTCACAGAAAAGATAACTCATAAGGGTAAGGAATCCACGAAAAGATTTTTGAACCTCATTACAAATCAGGGAAATGCTAGCTAAAATGATAACAACCAGATACCATTCACAACCACCATACTGGGAAAATTAAAAAGTCAGATGGGACACAGTGGCTCATGCCTAAAATCCCAACACTTTGGAAAGAATATTTTGGGAGGCTGAGGTGGGTGGATTGCCTGAGCCCAGGAGTTCGAGACTGGCCTCAGCAATAAAGTAAGACCCTGTCTCTACAAAAAAACATAAAAATTAGTAGGGCATGAGAGTGCATGCCTGTAATTCCAGCCACTCAGGAGGTGGAGGCAGAAGGATCACTTGAGCTCAGGAGGTAGAGGCTGCAGTGAGCTGAGATTGTGCAGCTACACTCCAGCATGAATGACAGAGTGAGACTGCCTCAAAAAAAAAAAAAAAAAAGGGCCAGGTGTGATGGCTCACGCCGGTAATCCCAGCACTTTGGGAGGCCAAGGCGAGCAGATCACTTGAGGTCAAGAGTTCGAGACCAGCCAGGCCAACATGGTGAAATCTCGTCTCTACCAAAAAATATTTTATTTTATTTTATTTATTATTATTCTTTTTTGAGATGGAGTTTCGCTCTTGTTTACCCAGGCTGGAGTGCAATGGCGCAATCTCAGCTCACCACAACCTCCGCCTCCTGGGTTCAGGCAATTCTCCTGCCTCAGCTTCCTGAGTAGCTGGGATTACAGGCACGCGCCACCATGCCCAGCTAATTTTTTGTATTTTTAGTAGAGACGGGGTTTCACCATGCTGACCAGTATGGTCTCGATCTCTTGACCTCGTGATCCACCCGCCTCGGCCTCCCAAAGTGCTAGGATTACAGGCGTGAGCCACCGCGCCCGGCCCAAAAAATATTTTAAAAAATTAGGTGTGGTGACATGCGCCTGTAGTCCCAGCTACCCTGGAGGCTGAGGCAGGAGGATTGCCTGTATCCAGGAAGTGGAGGCTGAGAGGCTGAGCCAATATAGCACCATTGTATTCTAGCCCAAGACACTGCCTCAAAATAAATACATTCATGAAAAGAAAATTAAAAAGTCAGAAAATAGCAAATGTTAAATAGGCTGTGAAACATTTTACTGTATTAAATTTTCATACAATGTCAATGAAAGTATAAATACAAACATCTTTGCAAAGTTGAAAATGCACAAGCCTTGGCCGGGCACAGTGGCTCACATCTGTAATCCTAGCATTTTGGGAGGTGAGTGGATCACCTGAGGTCACAAGTTGGAGACCAGCCTGGCCAACATGGTGAAACCCCATCTCTAATCCCAGCTACTCAGGAGGCTGAGGAAGGACAGTTGCTTGAACCCAGGAGGCAGAGGTTGCAATGAGCTTAGACTGCACCATTGCACTCTAGTCTGGGCAACAAGAACAAAACGCTGTCCTGAGGAAAAAAAAAAAAGAAAATGCACAAGTCGGCTAGATATGGTGGCTCACGCCTATAATCCTCACACTTTGGGAGGCTGAAGTGGGCAGATCACTTCAGGTCAGCGGTTTGAGACCAGCCTGGGCTGGTGAAACCCTGTCTCTACTAAAATACAAAAAAAAAAAAAAATTATCTGGGGGTGGCAGCATGCACCTGTAATACCAGCTATTAGGGAGGCTGAGGCAGGAGAATCGCTTGAACCCGGGAGGCAGAGGTTGCAGTGAGCCGAGACTGCACCATTGCAATCCAGCCTGGGCAATGAGTGAAACTCCATCTCAAAAAATTAAATTAAATTTTAAAAAACTTCTACATGTACACTGGGAAATATATATAAGGACGTTCATACTAGCAGAGTATGAATTATAAAAAAAAAAAAAAAAAACCAAATGGTAGAGAAGCCAAATGTCCCTTAGTAGAACAGTAGAGATAGTCATACAAGGGAATATTAGTAAGCAATTAAATGAAAAAATTACCATTGCCTGCATGCATCAATATGGATCTCAAAAATGAATACTGAGTGAGTAATATTACATCTAGCATGATATATCATATAAAATTCAAAACCAAAAAGCTTCATTAATTATTTGGGGGACATAAACAGGAAAAATGAAACAAAGAGGCAAGAGAATAATAAGAACGATGTTTAGTATAATGGTTACTCCTGGGGAGAAAGGAAAGGGAAAAAGATTGAGGTAGAGCACACAAGGAAATTGATAACAAACTATTACTAATCCTGGACAATGGATACATGAGTATTATTTTCATACCATGTGTATTATATTCATTCTTTTGTATGTAGGACATATTGAAAAGCCCACATCTTTTGGAGCTAATAGGTTTAAAATATTTAAATGTAACTCTCAATATCCAGTAGTTATAGGATAACTGAATTAAATATCTATATAATTAATTAGTTCATTTTGGCTATCAATTTTTTTGTTTTGTTTGGTTTTTTTGAGACAGGGTTTTGCTCTTGTTGCCCAGATTGGAGTGCAATGGCACGATCCCAGCACACTGCAACCTCCGCATTCAAGCAATTCTCCTGTCTCAGCCTCCCTAGTAACTGGGATTACAGGCACCTGCTACCACGCCCAGCTAATTTTTGTATTTTTAGTAGAAATGGGGTTTCACCATGTTGGTCAGGCTGGTTTCAAATGCCTAACCTCAGGTGATCCTCCCACCTCAGCCTCCCAAAGTACTGGAATTACAGGCATGAGCCACTGCACCCAGACCCTTTGGCTATCATTTTCACCTTTAAAATTTTTATTTTATTTTTATTTTTTCTTGAGATGAAGTCTTGCTCTGTCACCCAGGCTGGAGTGCAGTGATCTTGGTTCAATGCAACCTCTGCCTCCAAGTTTCAAGCAATTCTCCCGCCTCAGCCTCTGAGTAGCTAGGATAAGAGACATGCACCACCACATCCAGCTAATTTTTGTATTTTTAGTAGAGACGGGGTTTCACCATGTTGTCCAGGCTGGTCTTTGAACTCCTGACCTCAGGTGATCATCCCAACTCAGCCTCCCAAGTCCTGGGATTAGAGGCGTGTGCCACCATGCTAGTCCCACCTTTCTTATAACCAAAAGCTTTAAAGTAACAACAGTAACAACCTAGAGTTGCAACCAATTAACACAAGTTACTGAGCACCTACTGTGTGTCAGGCCTTGTGAATAAAATGGTGAACAAACTATTATAGTCCCTGATCTTATAATCAAGGAATTTATAGTACAGTCAAGAGAATCACATCGGCTGGGCACAGTGACTCATTCCTGTAATATCAGCACTTTGGGAGGCTAGGGTGAGAAGACTGCTGGAGCCTAGGAGTTTAAGACCAGCTGGGAAAACACAGTGAGACACCCCGCAAGTTCTGCAATAATAAATAAATAAATAAAGGAAAAAAGAAAAAAAATTAATTAGGTAGCCATGGTGGTACAGGACTGTAGTCCTAGCTACCTAGGAGGCTGAGGCCAAAGGATCACTTGATCACAGTTGTTCAAGGCTACAGGGAGCTATGATCATGCCACTGTACTCCTGCCTGCATGACAGTCAAATCTGGTCTAAATAAATAGATAAAAAAATAAAAAGGGGCTGAGCACAGTGGCTCACAGCTGTAATCCTAGCATGTTGGGAGGCCAAGGTAGACAGATTGCCTGAGCTTAGGAGTTTGAGACCAACCTGGACAACCCCATCTCTACCAAAATATAAAAAACTGGCCTAGCATGGTGGTGCACACCTATAGTCCTAGCTACTCAGGCAGCTGAGGCAGGAGAATCGCTTGAACCCGGGAGGCGGAGGTTGCAGTAAGCTGAGATTGCACCATTGCAATCCAGCCTGGGCAACAGAGCAAGACTCCATCTCAAATAAATAAATGAATAAGTAAATAAAAAGAGAAACACATAAACTCCTTTAAATTTTATTTCCTTTTAGTTCTTTTCTTTTCTTTTTTTTTTGAGACACGGTCTCGCTTTATTGCCCAGGCTGGAGTGCAACGGCAAGATCACAGCTCACTGTAGCCTGGAACTCTTGGGTTCAAGTGATCCTCCTGCCTCAGCCTTTCAAGAAGCTGGGAATATAGGTGCCACTGCCTGGCATATTAAAAAAAAAGAATTTTTTTTTGGTAGAGATAACCCTTGCTACGGTTCCCAGGGTGGTCTTGAACTCCTGAGCTCAAGTGATCCTCCTGCCTCAGCCTCCCAAAGTGCTGGGATTACAGGCATGAGCCACCATGCTCTGCTTAAACTTTATCACATTTGTTATTTTTCTTGAAGCAGGGTCTTGGTCTGCCACCCTGGCTGGAGTACAGTGGCACAATCACAGCTCACTGCGGCCTCAAAATCCCCTCCTCAAGCTATCCTCCCACCTCAGTCTCCCAAGCAGCTGGGATTACAGGCAAATGCCACTGTGCCTGTTTTTTTAATTTTGTAGAGACAGGGTCTTGCTATGTTGCCAGGGCTGGTCTTGAACTCCTAGACTCAAGCAATCCTCCCAACTCTGCCTCTCAAAGTTCTGGGATTACAGGTATGAGCCATCACACTTGGCCATAAATACACTGTTTTGGTTTTTTTTTGAGATGGAATCTCAGCTCACTGCAACCTCCACCTCCCAGTTTCAAGCGATTCTCCTGCCTCAGCCTTCCAAATACCTGGGACTGCAGCCACCTGCCACCATACCAGCTAATTTTGGTATTTTTAGTAGATACAGTGGCTCTTACCAGTGGTCCTAGCAACTTGGGGAATTGAGGCAGGAGGATTGCTGGAGCCTGGGAGGTTGATGTGCAGTGCACTCCAGCATCACGCCACTGCACTCCAACCTGGGTGACAAAGTGAGACCCTGTCTCAAGAAAAAAACTTGTCAAGCTGATA